TCCCAGATTGTGGAATGTGGACTTTTGCCTTAAAGAGTGAGGAAATAGGATTTGTCCAGTTTAAGGTTTTAATCCATGTTCAGTTTTTTCTTGGAGCTTCTGTAATTTATAAATCCTGAGAGACAGCTTTTTCCCCATCAAGATACTCCAGACTAAAACTGAGTTTTATCATGTTTAGTTAGCACAAAACAATTTTGTCCATTGATAATGTGAGTAATAATAAATATAATTAACAAAAAAAGGACCAAATAAGACCAGATCATTGTCTTCACGTAAAATGTCTGTTGGAAGTTTAGGAACTTGTGTTTCTGCCTCCAAATGTACCATCGCACAAATGTTTCCATGCATTTTTTAAAAATAAGTTCTTCTTTTTTTTTTTTTTTTTTTTGGAGAGGAAACGTGTGGTCTCACACGCCCTTTTTATCACTACGAAAGCTACAAATACAGGAAGACATGAGGAAACGGGACATTCCAGTAGTGCTTTTGTACTTTTCGTTTTGTTATTGTTACTACTGCAGCTGCTGCAGGGACAAGGAAATATTCTCCAGGAACACACCTTCAGAAACATTTCAGGAAAACCTGCTTGGACCTAGTATTAATGCAGCAAAGCTGCAGGTTAGCCACGAGGTCACTATTGGATAGCACCACATCGTGGAAAATGAACTGAAAACTATATTATTATCAAATTCACAAAGGTTACTCATAACAACAATAAATAAAATGACTGGGAAAAGGTAGGTAAAATAAAACTAAAAAACTCACTTAGAATTAACTTCAAGCTAGCAACAAGTCAACTAGAACGTGTTCAAAAGGACAGTTCCTAAAAAACTCCAAAATCTTTTTTTTTCATTGAGATTTTTGTTTTTTAATTTTCTTTACAAAATGTGTTTTCTTTAGACCTGCAGTTCTTTTTTAAGGACCAAACCTGTGTTTGTAGTGTGGTAGAACCCGTTTGGTCATGTCTGGTTAAGTTAGAATAAGGGTTGAAGTTAAACATTAACTTCTGTTGGTAATGGTTAGGGTTAGGGGTAAAGTTCTGCTTCGACCCTACAAATGAATACAAAGTCCTGACAAGAATAGCTACACGGCTCTGTGTGTGTGCAGTGCAGGTGTGCGCTCTCCCGCTCTCCTTTTCTCTCGCCTTGTTTGTCGTTTCCATGGAGACCGCCCGCGCGGCGCCAGGCTGACAGGCGTCAGGACGCAGATGAATTGGTGACGTCATCGCGCTGGCGCCTGACAGTCTGCTCAAGCTTGTTTGAACAAAGAGGAGGAGGGAGGAGTGGGGGAGAGACAGAGAAATACTCTCACACACACACACACAAACAAAACATGTGAAGGAATCCGCGGAGCTGCTCAGTGTGTCAGAAACAAGTCGATAAACTTTAACATTTAGATATTTTGTCCAGAAAACAGTGAACTGGACATGAAGACCAGCATCAGTGTGTCTTCACACCGTTCATTTAAATAACCATGTTATTTAAATGAAGCTCTTTGGGTGAATGGCTGCTTCTGTTTGATCAAAGTTTGCACCTTTAGGGGTGTTTACAGATTATTAAGACATTGTCTGATATTAGTTAAACCTTTCACACAGTGTGTTTCACACTGTCCTTAGTTTGGGTAAATGTGTTAACTTTTTTGCTAGCTTTTAGCTTTTTGGTCAATTACTGAACAAGAGTGATTGTAATCATGAGTTGATTCTTGTTCTGTCCTGACTTATTTTAATCTTTTTTGTTAGACTTATTCAAATTAATTTAAAAGCTGATTATGGCTCAGCAACTGTATCTGGACTCACTTAAATTCCCTGTCTAGTTTGGTAAGATGCTGCTGTTGTAGATTTCTTAAATTAATTTTATAATTCTAAAATATTACCCATCTTTCCCCTATGAACAAGGTAAACACAAACAGGAGACTTAATTAGATAACATACAATTAACAACAAATGTCTGTAGCCTCCATCTTTAATCCATTGTATGTGCATCGATTTGACCAGTGTGTTTCCCCATCCTACTTCCCACACTGTTATCATCTTCGTTAGTCATTGTCATCAGCCATTTATCCCATTCATCCTGTCACATTACTCTGACACACACACACACACACATTCCCACAGTACAGGCATTGACTATGCAAAGGCATTTTACACCTGCAGAGTCCCCGAGCCACGGGCAGCTGGATTCCCACGTATTAGCCATAAAAGACACACATTTGTTTCCATTTGTAACGCCATCCCTCGAAAAGATTGTAAACCGTGATAACCACTTCACTGCTCTCATTGGCTTAGACTTCACCCCGGGCCCGCCCACCAAATACACTAACTGTGTTGTGATTGGCTCCGGTCCTGCAAACGACACAGTCGTCCACGCCCCTGCGTCCGGGCCTCTATGAATAAGACCGGAGTGGCCCATGTGGGTTTTGCAAACTGTCAACATTCCCTGACGCCGAACAGAGAACAAGCGAAGTCCCGAGAGCTCCTCAGTGTCCAGACCCGCGAGTTGATTTACTCCACACAGACCAAAGGCAAAATGAAGGTTGTCGGATCTACGTGCGCTCTAAAAAGCAAGGTGGGCAGCGAGGATGTGGTGCGCTGCCTGTCGGAGCAGAGCCTGACCATCAGCAAGTGCAAGATCCCGCTGCTGGACGAGCAGATGAACGTCTTCCTGCAGGACATGAACAGCTGCTACAGCAAACTAAAGGAACTTGTGCCCACGCTGCCCACCAACAAGAAGGCCAGCAAGGTGGAGATCCTGCAGCACGTCATCGACTACATCTGGGACCTGCAGGTCGAGCTGGACGAGCCGGAGAAGAGCCGTCCACTCCCCGTGTCCAGCACGGCGCGGACACCCCTGACCACTCTGAACGCGGAGCTGGCCGGCATCACAGTGGAGGTAAATGAGCACAAAACACGCGATAACGTGTCAGGAACGCATGTGTCCTCAGAGCTTCATATTTCATTGAGTTGAAATATATTTGTTTCTTCATGCAACCTAACATGCTGACCCTGAAACTCTTTTTTTTTTTGTTGTTGTCACAGAACGGATGCCCGAGTGACAGGATTATGTGCCGCTAACAGCACAGCCAGTGGAACCAGCGTCTCACCGCGTGACGCACCGGCAAGAACGAACAAGGCTACCTGATGTGACTTCTCCAGAACATCGAAAGAGAACCTTGACCAGTGTAGGGGCGTTTCAGACTCCCAGAAACTAAAGGCTAGAGTAAATACGTAGAAACGGGGACTGAAGGAGTTTCCAGGACTCGAATCTGAAGAGAGTCCCGAGAGGAGAGAGAACGCACTGGAGTCTGGACCCAAAGAGAATGGGTTATTCTGGACCAGAACAGACCAGCCAGTGTGGTCTGATGTCAGTAGAGTTTTTTAAAGGAAAAGCTTAAGAACAAGTGGCTCTTAAATACCTTGTTCTTTTTTTTAACCTTGTAGAAGATGTTGTTAAAGAATATTCTCAGATTCCTGAGCAAAGCAAATGTATTGTATATTACAATGTCTCCTTATGTGAAAATATTGTTTCTTGCAATGTATCAAACTTGTGTTTTTTATTAAAACAAAACAGTTATTTTTTGAAAATTGCCCTCTACGTGTTTGTATTTCCACTGGGTGAATGAGAAACGTCACTGGGTCTCTGTTTAGAAAGGGGGTGGAGGGTGGGGGTTTAATACCGTCTGTTACGGCTCTATGATCATGACAGTGAAGCTCATATTCTGATCAGAGTCACCAAGAACAAGGACTTATTCACTGCATGAAGGGTCAACACGTAGGACACGCCGTAGAAGAGTTTGTGGTGACGTGAAAACAGACGGTCATCACAGACGACACAGAACACCACGAGGTCTCAACCTCCCACAACGTCACTAATACACTTTTCCACACGTCCAATAATACGATCTCTGTAATTTGGCGGATAAATAATACACGTCAATGCAGTGACTTAACCAGATTTGATGGGAATAGAAGCGAAAGTGAAAGAAATGAATAGGATTAAAGTTGGTTTCTATCGATAACACTCGTGTTAGAAGTAGTTTGAAACCCCGGGGCTGAAAATCCGCCTCCGGCGCTGCAGGCTTTAACAGCTTTTGAGTTAGAAGATTTATTCTTTCTCCCTGCTGCAATGTTTTCCCCATTTCCCTGCGGTGCGAGGCGCACAGCTGCAGCGGCGTCGACGTGCGCGCCGAGTGAGTGTGATTGTGTTTGTGTGTGATAGCTTTGTGCCAAGGGCAGGGGAGGGCGGCGGGGCCCAGACTCAGCGGCGCCTCGGCACACCTGGGGAAGTTCAGGTTAAATAGCTCTACATTCCACGGCACACAGCTGATTGAAACATTAACAAACAGTAATCCACGGGGCCAGGCCGCAGATGGGCTGGGACGAGAGCCAACTCACTCACTGGCTGCCAGAAGTAGAAACACACACACAGGAGTGAGAAGAGAGGCAGAGAGAAACAGGAGAGAAATGCTGTGTGTTCGACATGTTTGACAACATTCAAAATCATTTTAGTCACTGAGGACAGCTCCTTATCATGTTGTCTGCTGTACACGAACAGTGGGAGAGGGGGGATGGGGGGGGGGCTCTATTTTTAAATGTTCCCGAACAGTGGGAGAGGGGGGGGGGGGCTCTATTTTTAAATGTTGCTCATCATAAAGCATCACACGTGTTCAATAGCAAACAGGTCTGGACTGAATGCAGGTCAGTCTGTACTCACATTCTTTACCTAACACGTAGGTGTTAAAACACCTGCAGAATTGAACAAATTAAAGTTATCAAAATAAAAGGAATAATCAAATAGCCTGTACTGTATGTACCCAGTTACCTGTGTAAAAAGTACAGTTGGACAGACCATATGACGTCATCATCATATCATCTGTTGATATGACGTGAATTAAATGTAGGTGGATGGTTGTTTCATCTTCCTCCTGGTCCTCCTCTCTGCACACATCTCAGCAATAGCCCTGCATTCTGCACAAGTGAAGCAAAATATTTAAAATATGATATATCATTGAAATGACAAAACAATTAAAAAAAGTATTGTATTGTATAGTAATGTATACATATCACACTTAAAAACTTGCAACTCAACCCAATAACAAACTAATGTCCACCAGGGGGCAATGATACACATGTAGCTGTTTCTGTCTGCCAAAAGCGGCAACGTGTAAGGCAGCGGTTTCCCCAACTTTTTCCGAGAAATAAAAACAACTTCCTTATAAAGGCAGCATGTTAAATCATGCTGAAATGACACAACACACACAACCTACATTTATTTACGATTCAAAATGTCAGCTTTGGATTTTCGACTTTACAAAGAAAATGTTTATTTACACGTCTTTATCGTGAGGAAGAATCTCACTAAAAACACACTCCAAACCGCCATCACATTTTTTTTAGTCTCGCGCACCTCCTAGTGGCAATTCAACCACACTTTGGGAATGCCAGGTGTAAAGATGTCTTTAACAGGACGTTAACTCCACTCACAGTGTTCCTGCACATTAACTCGAGTGTATTGACGATGGATTTCAACCATTTGTATACGTTTTTGTGATTATTAAAATTATAAGTAAATAATAAATTAGATTTTTTTTTATCACAGTCGGGTCGTTTTAGACGTTCATGTTGCATTATTCCACTAATACATCGGGCGTCCTCTACTGACAGAGAACGGAACAGCAGAACTCTAGAGCGAAACCAGGAACTGAGTTGTCGACGGCATTATTGAACAACAGCGCCTCTTAGTGGTGATATTGCTCTCGGGGTGTACAGCTGTAGTGTTTAGGCGTGCAGACCTTTTTTGGGGCATTTCTTTAGTGAAAAAAATAATTTTTATTACACGCTTTTAATCTAGAATTGATTGATTTAAAAGAAAAGGGAAAAAAAGAGGAAAACCTGACTTTCAAAACACTACTTTCTTGGTCCAGAAGGTAAAGTGGCTACGGCGCCACCTAGTGTCTATCTGTGCACGCCACTGCAGTTGGTTTGTTCAAATGCATTCTTTGATGTCATATCAGGTTGTTGAGTCTTTGACCAATCAGTACGTCTGTACTTCATTTCAGTAGCATAGTTTCATTCACCTGATTCAGTTCCTTTCATTTAACTTCTAACCTATACTTGTCACATAGCTTCCTACTGTTAGGCCAGGCTGCCAGTCACACTGATGGTAACAGCCTCAGGTGCCTGATATCTGTCTTAGTTCAGTCGTGACATGCCAGTGCAACTGTAGTCGGCAGAATTTCAATAGAAATTTGTATTTACATTAATATCAACAACAGAAACTATCAAATACATCCTGTAATCTCTCGTCCACACAGAGGAGACCACCATAAAGGCATGGTGGTGATGACGCTGTGTGATGGACGTTTTGTATAAAGAGAAAACTACATTTTCTCATTCACAGCAAAACATGACTGTTCAACTGTGGAGACATACAGTATGCAAGAGTACATTATAACCCAAAATAAGCCACTACACATACATTTATACATATTTCACATTGGAACAATACATTTCTAAGAAAATGTACAACAACAAAAAACTGTAAACTGTAAAATGAAACTGTACAGAGCTTGAAAATACAACTCTTTGGATTGAGCATTGAAAAGCCAAATTCAGCCAATCAATGAGAACAGTCACAAGAATATGCTGCCAAAATATACTGAAAATAAACACGATGGAGGAGAGAGAAGTAGAAAAGGGCGCGACTTGTCATGTGATGTAAAACCAGACCAACCAGACTGATTTCTGAACACGGTCTCAAGCCTTTAACATGTTTCCCAATATGAAGCGTAATTCTCAATGTGAAGCTAATTTCTGATAAAAAAATGAAATATTTAATTCCCTGTTTTTAACATGTTTGAGAAGCACTGCTGGATTTCATAATACAGAACCATAATCCCAGTGATTTAACACAGAAAAACAACACTTTTCTTAACCACTTCCCTATAAAAATATCTGACAGTGCGTGACCTTCAACTCCATCAAAAATATCACATGTTCAGAAAGACAAAAACAAAACAGACTGCAAAAAAAAAACATCACCAAGTACATTTTCTTTTCTGTTGTCCAATTCTTTGTGATAAAAACACAAGGTGTGGTATATTCCATCAATATTCAACTTTTTCTCTCCACAAAGAACGTTTTGTAAAACTAATACTGTGGTACCGTTGTCCCAGGGCTAACGATGCTCAGCCACAGTCTAAAGCACAGATGCAGGTGTTATTGCTTCAACCTGCAGGACAACCTATACTTATAGCTTTTGGTGAAAGAAATTCCCTAGAAAAATCTAAGGACTTTTTTTTAAGGCAATAAACTTCTTGTAAGTTCTATAATGAATAAATATTGCATTGTTTTAGACCTGATCCAGACCTGTTGTTAAAATCTCAGATCGTTGTGCAGTCAGGTCTGTCCACACTGAGATGTTTTAGGACAATAATACTCCACATTGAGAATGCACAGACACAGTCCTGTCTTCAGCACGGAATAGAATCTAGCTACAAAAGGGAATCACAACGGTCTATGTCTCTAAACATTGTCCTGAACAGGTGTTGCTGTCAATCGGCAGATCTAGTTGTCAGTTTTTGTTTTTATCCCATTAAGCAATAAAACAAATGGCACAGTATATTCAGTAGCGGGCGCAGTGTAAAAAAAAAAAAAGACAAGAATATTGTGCCTTGAAACTTGAAAATATACACCGTGGTTATAAATCGGTTTTCCTCAAAATCTTATGATCTGAACTTATTTAAGCTTATTTTACACACAACCAAACTCTGTATTAACTCGATGCAAAGGCACAGTGGCTTTTTCAATTATAAGGATTGGACTGGACTCTTTCTTAATGCTACAAAACCAGATTTTGTCACCGTCATATCACCACCTTCTTCTTCTGTGTTTTTGTTTTTATTTTATCCTGCTGCTCATTGGCATTTTCTGTGAGTAACTACTCTACACAGAATTAGGTTTTTAATCCAAGTGCTAGCCCACAGACATTTGTTACACTTGTTATATTTACCCCTAATGTATTTGAATGCATTTGTTTTGCTGAGGTGTGGACGACTTTTAAGTCCAGGTGTGGACAGTCCAACTTTACTCTGACAATGTGACAACATCCCTCAGGACAGATGTTAACAGCAGGTCTGAACAGAGTCTTTGTTCCTCACACAAGGCTCACGCGCTTCTCACATCTTTCTGTACTAGAGTGTCATGTCGCAGCCTGACTGCTCCACGCCAGTCATGGGAAAACACACAGACCACATTTTCTGATGTGCACAACCGTGTGAGAGCTGGAGAAAAAGCTGACACAAGTCTGCACTCGAAGCCCTTCTCCTTCAGGCTGAGCGGTGCCTTGTTGAATCTATTGTGTCACTTCTGATGGCGTGGGATCTCCATCTCTGTGCGTGTTTGTGTGTGTTTGTGTTCTTCTGGCTCAGACAACTCTGCCACATGTGAGAAGCCTTAGCTTCCACAGTGTGCCACACGTCATCAGCAGTACTTCTAGAGGGGGAAAAAAAGGACAGTAAGTTCAGTCACATTTTGGAAATTTTTATATATATATATATATATATATATATAAATTTATGCTGTAACTGATTTCTGCAGTCTATAAGTTAAGACCCCTTTATATATTGAGAAGCCACTTGTCTCATGTCCTAATACGCCATCTTTTTTCTTCAAAATGAAGTATGAGTCAAAGCACACCAACCTGATCGGGTCCCAATGGCATTCTACCCATTCCCACTGGGTTCATACTCATGTGGCCCTGCATCTGTCCTGACATCTGTCCTGACATCTGTCCTGACATCTGTCCTGACATCTGTCCCATCGGTCTTGCACCGGCCCCACCCATGGAGTTGTTTGCCATCATGGGTCCAAACTGGTTCTGATTTGCCTGCTGAGGAAACTGTTGCTGGGAGTATGAACTGGCAGCCAAAGGAGAAGAAACATTAGTTGTAATACATTACTTTAATTAAAATGACGTCTTATTGCACAAGGTCTATCATACTTGTTGCGTGCAACGCTCCCTTGTGGCCAGGCCTTCATTTCTGCAGCTGGGTACATGGACCCTCCCTGTGGGTTTCCCTGCATACCAGCCACCATAGTGTTCTGAGGAGGTCCTCCTATTCGACATTGCATCATGTTTCCTGCCGGGTTACTTCCCTGAGTCATGAATGATGGGTCCCCCTGCTGGTTCATTCCTGTAAAAACAAGAGCAGGACCATTAACCCTAAAACACCTTTCCAACCATTTGTATTAGTGTTCACATCATGTCAATACAATACATTAAATTTAAAAAAAAAGGAATCAGACTAAAGGCATAAGTCAGAATAAGTAGATTCAACAAAGGTAGTGAAAATACACACACAGGCAAAAAGACAACAGAGTACAAAGAACCAGGACAATCTGTTAATCTCAATCTGCTTTAAACTCCAAGGAGTAACAGTTTGCTTTTAAGGAGCAACTTAATCTCACCATAGTTCCCTCCATAGCTGAAGCCCTGCTGTCCAGGTTTATTTACTGGAGATGTTCCCATGGCGTTGTCAATGCCTCCTGCAGTATTGACAATTGGAGGAGCGCTAAAAGCTCCGGCTGTTGCCTGTCCCTGTTGCTGCTGCTGTTGTTGTTGCTGTTGCTGCTGCTGTTGCTGTTGTTGCATTAGCATCACCATCCGCTGCCTCTTCATCTGCATAGTCATCATCTCTCTGTTGCGCTGAGCCATCATTTGGGAGTTAAGAAAACCAGGCTGCAGGGAAAAAAAAGAAGCATTAAGTCTGTTGAATGTGGTGAGTGACTGTACACTGAATGAAATGGTCACTACAAACCTGAGCCCCCATGCTTGTAGGCTGCATGCCAGGCTGCATGCCAGGGCGCATGGGTGGGTTTCCTCCAGGGTTGTTTTCCATCTTCATACCTGGTCGTGTCTGGTTCATAAACTGCAAGATAACATCAGTTTTATTTGACCGTGCCGTTTACTCTGTTATGTTTCAATATTGATAGCCCATATAACATCACATATTATGTCATTTTGCATGAAGTCATATAAGTGAATATCATGTCCGTCACCTGTTGCCCCTGGAGTCTCTGCTGTAGCTGTAGTCTCAGAGGCTTGGTTGCCATCATGCGAGGTCTCATCATGTTTGCTCGAGGGTTACCCATGTTCTGCATGCCTGCTGTCCCAGGAAGGCCCCCTGTTTGACTCATCGGATTCATCATAGGGTTAAAACCTCTGGGAGACTGCCCTTGCATGGGGTTGTTGTTGTAACTTCCCCGCATGCCCATGCTAGGGGCAGCTGGAGGACCTGCATAGCCCTGGCCAAACATGGGTTTTTGGTCCATAGTAAGGGAGGACTCAGGAAAGGGGTCTGACGGGGGACAGCGACTCTGACCTGGCTCCTGACCCCGTTGTCGAGCCTCAGGTCCATGGTTCTGGGTCACAAAGAAAAAAAACACATCCTGCTAGTTTGGCTAGTTTATTTAAAATAAGTGAATTTGGCACAAAAATACAAACAAGACAAAACAGAAGCTCATCTTTTTCTCTCAGGTCAACACAGCTGTATATAGAAAAGTAGCGCGTTGCGTACCTGTCCTGCTAGTTCAGGGATGCCCAGGGCTCGGTCTATCTCCTGCAGGGCAAGGACGTCAGCTGTGTTGAGCAGAGAGTCCAACTGGTCTAGAAGTGCTCGTTCATCTGTTGGTCCACCAGATGGTCCGCCCCTGGTGTTTGTCAGGGGCCCCAGCAAATCATTGAGAGGGTTATTGATTGGGTCCCTATCAAAATATGGCAGAAACATCGAGTCAGAAAAATAACTCAAGAGTAAATTGTAATATCCAAGACGTCAGTGTCGCATGCAGAAATGTGTAAACTGTTTATTATAGAAGATAAGGAGACTGTCACCATCTATAATAATATTCACTTTTAACAATATTCGCCCATCAAACTTGTCGTGAACTTATATACGTAGATAAACATAAAAAAAAACACCATGTTTAAATGGAGTCATCTGAAACAAGAGGATAAGAAGTCAGGATGAGTGTCTTACTGTAGTCTGTCCATTCCCACAGCAGAGCAGGAGGGTGACTGTGGTGGTCCTCCATGGCCACCAAATCTCCTCATACTCACATTGGAATCACTGGCACCTGTATTTAAAGGAATGCAACATTACATTATAATATATATAAAATACATTTAGCAGACTTACAATTTGAGTCAGTCAATCAACAAGGGGTCAGTAAAGTTCTATATAATCTAATCTAACATATAAGATTTCATGGTGTTTTGCATCAATAGTATTTGAGAGTTCAATTACCATGTGAGGCACCCATGTCTATAAACTGCTGCTGCTGCTGCTGCTGCCGGTGGTGTAGCACGATTGAACTGGCGGGGCTCCGGGCGCTGGTGGGGGTAGAAGTGCTCGTTCATCTGTTGGTCCACCAGATGGTCCGCCCCTGGTGTTTGTCAGGGGCCCCCGCAAATCATTGAGAGGGTTATTGATTGGGTCCCTATCAAAATATGGCAGAAACATCGAGTCAGAAAAATAACTCAAGAGTAAATTGTAATATCCAAGACGTCAGTGTCGCATGCAGAAATGTGTAAACTGTTTATTATAGAAGATAAGGAGACTGTCACCATCTATAATAATATTCACTTTTAACAATATTCGCCCATCAAACTTGTCGTGAACTTATATACGTAGATAAACATAAAAAAAAACACCATGTTTAAATGGAGTCATCTGAAACAAGAGGATAAGAAGTCAGGATGAGTGTCTTACTGTAGTCTGTCCATTCCCACAGCAGAGCAGGAGGGTGACTGTGGTGGTCCTCCATGACCACCAAATCTCCTCATACTCACATTGGAATCACTGGCACCTGTATTTAAAGGAATGCAACATTACATTATAATATATATAAAATACATTTAGCAGACTTACAATTTGAGTCAGTCAATCAACAAGGGGTCAGTAAAGTTCTATATAATCTAATCTAACATATAAGATTTCATGGTGTTTTGCATCAATAGTATTTGAGAGTTCAATTACCATGTGAGGCACCCATGTCTATAAACTGCTGCTGCTGCTGCTGCTGCTGCTGCTGCAGCAGCATGGACCTGGTGGGTCCAGGTGCACTGTTGGGGCAGTTCATTATTGCACCTCTCATTGAGTGTCCCATGCCTGGGTGTCCTGATCCAGAAAGTGGGCTGCCGACAGAACTGGGCATTTGTCGATTAGCCTGCGCTGCCATAGGAGAGTGCTGTGCTGAGTGCTGTCCCATCCCTCTGCTCAGACCTCCTAAACAACACACATCACACATCCGTCAACGTGGCAGTTTTAAGGAAATGTATTCATAGTCTCACATTTAAAAAAAGAAAGTGGGGAAAAAGAAGTTTACTTGGTTGATTCCGTGGTGGACAGGATCCCATGCCTCCAGGAAAGCGTTGAGGAAATCCCCCAGGTCGGATTACAGCATCCATATTTTCCTGTTTAGCCAAAGTGGGACAGGGGACGTTCCTCCTCATAGCCAGGTTCCCCACTAGTGCTCCTGCTACACTCGTGTGTTTGGAGTCCACCGACAAGTTTCTTTGAAAAACACGTTGGCTCTGAGGAACAAAGCCCTTTTCTCCTAGGACACAGAAAGTCTCCAGATGAGTTCACACAACATGTACAATATGAAAATAAATGGAAAATTATTACAATTTATACATTCAACAATTCATTTATACCAATGTTTTTCATAGTCCAGTGGTGAAAATGAACAATATGCCGTTGTGTTTCCTAGTTCTATCAGGGTTTTGTTTTTGGAGATTTTTTACCAAAAATACAAATTCAAAAACGAAACCAGATCTGTGCTGGTGTGTTCAGTGCACAAGATTGAAACGTCATTACTAATTCCGTAGTATCAGCAGTTGGTATTATTAGACTGGTGAATCTTACACCTCTCTGATCGTTTCTATTTTGTTCTAATGTTCATTTACTTCCTGTCTTACCATGTAAACTGTCTAGTACACTTCCTTCTTTGCTTGACAATTCGTTCTCCGTTCTGGAATCAGGTTCAGGGTAGAACCCAGAGTTGTTCCTTGGAACACCAAGGATGGTTTCGAGGGTCTCATTCTGAAACACCACAACAACAACAACATGTTTGAACATCAACATTTTAAATAAGATGGACTTATTACCTTTGATAAAACAAAAATACTGTACCTCGTCTGAAGGCTCCATTTTGACCTTTCTGTCCATGCACGGTAGATTTGAGCTGTTGACTCCTGTCCCCTGTGCAGTCCTTTCTTCCAACTTTTCCAGCTTTGGCTTAACATCTTCACTTTCTTTAGAGTCATCGTTATTGAGGAGGTAGTGAAGGAGTGCATTGGGCTTCTCCTTCTTGGGGCTGTGCTGCTCCTGTTTGGACTCAGAACCTTCCTTCAGGGCAGCAGGCTCAGAGCTGGAGTCCAGGCAGCTCTTTCCAGTGGCTTCAGCTGTGATGCGAGCGACCTCGTCGGGGGTGTTACCATTCTGAAGCAGCTTGTGGAGGATCTTGTGCTTTTCCTGCAGAGACTGACTCAGTGTATTTCCAGGGCCACCGGAGGACGACAGAGACCCATGATTTCCACCTGTCGAAGAGGACACTCCTGTGGAGGACGAAGGACTGGTGACATCTGACGGTCCATCGTCACCCTCGGGCCCAGACAACGATCCTGTGCAGGTTTGATTAGGAGGAGCTGTTTCTTCCGTGGGCGACGTGAGAAGCTGCAGGAGCTTCTTGTGACATCTGGTGTCAGGGACCCGTTTGGTAGACTCTCGCCCAGCGCTGTCTCTGTTGACCTGGAGTTCAGGTTTGTCAGCAGGGACCTCGCTGATGGGACTGTGAGGGTTCACCTGTAGAGGGTGCTCTCCAATACCTGAACACTTGGAGTCAGAGAAGGAGAGAAGACCGGGTTTGCACGTCCCTGTCGATGGATGAATAGTGGAGTTGATGCTTGGGGAGCTGTCTGGTTTGTGAGGAGGGGAGGTGAGAGAAGACGCCGCTGGATTTCCTACTCCGTCACTAATGGCTTGAAGGGCATTCAAAGAGCTGCTGGAGAAGGTGGTTCCCCCTCCTCCTCCAGTGTGAGTGGAGCTCACTGGAGAGGTTATTCCTACAAACCAAAGGCAATAAAGAGGTAAATAAAAACAACAAAAAACACATGCACAGAAGGCAACATAAACATATTCTGTGGTTACATGATCTTTTGACATATTACTACAAAATCTATATTAAAACATTTGATGCACCATGAAGAAGGAAAGCAGACAATGTTGACCACAGACCAATTCCTGAATTTCACCAGTAAATCTGCATAAAAGCTGTCCTAAGTTGTTCCTAAAATGTAACTTTAGGAAAGTTAACAAATGAAACTGAGCTTTTTTAATGTTTCTGAATAAATATATGTTTTAAATGAAGTTTGTTTTATTGAAAACCCTGGAAACAGATTCTATTCCTTTTGCCTCTTAGTGGAAAGTTAAGTCTCTACCAAAAGGAAAACATAACTCTGTAGTGCATTTATTCAGATATTAGGGTAATTCTATGGTGTTTCATTAGATTCTGATCAACATTTGCCTTTATTACCTGGAGAGAAGGGACTTGCGACCATATTTGGGCTTCCACGGACTCTAGGTGAACTCATGACACTGTGTTGTGCACCTGGACTGGCCTGGGGAGGGCTGGTCATCCCCATACCACTCCCTGCTCCGACTCCTGCTCCCTGGAAGTGACCCATCTGTTGGTTCTGATGCTGGTGTTGTTGCACACCCTGGTGGCCCATCTGGTTCATTGAACCCATTTGGTTCATGGAGTTCATGGAGTAGTTCATTGAGGGCGTGGAGTTCATTTGCCCCATGTTTACTTGATGCATAGGATTTATCTGATTCCTACAAATCATCTGACTCATCTGATTTACTGGATTCACGCAGTTGTCCCCCATGAACGGAGGCATTCCTCTGCTGGGCATTCTGCCCTGCTCAGCCATGCTGTGGCTCCGCCTCATGGCCAGACCTCCACCTGGGCCCATGTTCATCTGCTGGTTGGGGTTGTTCACAGGTCTCATGCCCCCACCTTGATTTCCACAGTAACTACTTGGCTCTCTTTAAGGAAACAAAGAACAAATCAATCAGAACAAAGGTTGAGCTCAACAGTACAGTGGGTACAGTCTCGTACTATTTTCTTCAAGTGTTTTCCCTGAACTTTTGTACCTTTGAAGATAGTGTGTGGATAAGAAAGTGGGTGTCTCATTGGTGTTGGGATTTCGGCAGAGCTCACTTCTGGTCTTGGCTGTGATAAGGGTGCCATCAGGGAGAGAGAAGCGATAGAATGGGGTTTCTGCACGTCCACTGTGGAACGCTGAAACCAAAACAACAGAGTGATTCCAGGAACCAACGTAGTGAAACTCAGAGGTTGTGTTTGTTTTAATATCTCTACACACACCGTCTTGATAGTGACATTTGTGGGACCAGGGCTGTCCCTCACTGTGATGTAGAAACATTTGCAAACAACGTTTGACCACGTTCTCCCAGCCTGGACGCATAGTGGTGTGAAGAGTGTTCTGATGTTCAATTTCAATCAGTTTACCTACAAAAGAAAGAATTGTTAAAAAAAAAGAAACATGGCGGTCGTTTGGGCTTTAATCCATCTTTTGTCTGCTCTCATTTCTACCCTGATATTTTTACCTGCCCAGATGTTAACATTATATTGATTTAGTGTTAGATCTGAGAACACAGATATTGACGTAAAAAATAAGATTAACTTACCAGAGAGTTCATGCCGTGTGCTAAACCTCTCTGTCCTTTCTACTGCAGTGATGCGTCGTGCTACACAAATCATACAGGACTGCAAATCTGAGAAAAAAGAACAAAACAGTTTAAAACACTTTTAGATTGACACAAAATGAATATAAATTAACAATAAAGCTTAATGAAATTAAAAAAAAAAAAAGACTTTACCTTCTCCTTCTTCCATTATCGCCTGGGGCTGAGTGACAGCAAAACACTGCATTGTCTCATAGCGTTGGTCTTCAGCTCTCTCGACTGATAACCCCTGACTCTGACTGTGTCCAAAGCTGACCAGCATACGGCAGTTAAAGGTGTGACTCCTCTGTTGAGGCACATCTCCAACCCAGGATGCATTTGCTGCTTAAAAAAACCCATAAATGTATCAACATTCTCTATTCTGACTAAATATTAACCTTTAAAAGTAACGACTTTTGTGAAACATTCAGAAAGACAGAGTGACATCTGCAAGTGGCTTCTGTAAAATTTTAATTTTACACATTTTATTGACATCTGCAAGTGGCTTGTAAAATTTTAATTTTACACATTTTATTTTTTTATTTAATAATATATATTAGAGCCGCTTTAATTAAAGTGACATTAAGGCATGTATATTTTTAGTTTAATTTCATTTGGACTAAAATGTCAATTATAATTTTCTGCTTTAAGTGAATTCATGTTGTCATCATCTCCAGTGTGTCTTACCATTAGACTTGGGCAGATTTTTATGAAACTCCTCTCTGTCTTCCCCATGAATGATGTTGTACACACTGGTGTTGATAAGTTCCTCTTGCCTGTACTGCATGTACTGTGTAACGTTGTCCGACACGAATATGATGCTGCCCTCTCTGTTCACCACAAACAGGAAGCCATCCAGGGCCTAAAAGTCAGCAAACACCAAGAAAGGGACAGCAGTGCATCAAAGGCAGCCAATGAAGATTGATGAAATTCTTGTGGCTTGTTAGCCCAGAAATGACTGTCTTTCATTTTCACCTGTAGGAGCAGCGGTCCCAGATGATCTTTGTCAATGACCCCCTGGCCAGTGGACGACACGTCCGCCTTCTGGACATCATCGTCACAACAAGAGCTCTTTCCTAGGACAGAGGAACGGAGGAAGTAGATTAAAACACTAAAGGAAAAATTAAACCAAAATAGCAGCAAAAGATACAACTACACAGAAATAACTACACATTTGAAAATGAAAATATAGCAAAAGCTTAAAGTTAGCCAAGGTGAAAAGAGAATTGCTAAAATAACTCAAAAGAAAGAACAAACAAACTCATTTAGCTTTAGTTTCTGGTCCTGTCACATCATAATGTCAACTTATTCACATTCCATCTGTATAGTTTGACAGAAGCTTTGTATTATGAAGCATTTTAGTCACTGGCTATGCTGTTACCTTGCTCTTTGATTTGTCTGATCTGTCTCACGGTCTCCTTGAGAATGGCACATTTGTCAGGCTTGACATTGAAGCTGTCGATGTTGGAGAGATTGGCAGAAATCAGCTCTGCTAGCTCCTCGATGTACTTGCTCTCCTGTTCCCTTCTGCGTTTGTCACACCTGCCGGGGAACAGTGAGGTGGTTGAGGGTACACAGGGCGGACAGGTTGGAGGAGAGTGGGTGCTTTCTTTCACACTTCCAGCACAAACAGCATTGCTAAAACAAAGTAAAACTGAACTGGACATTGACAGACGCCGCCGTACTTACCCCAGGCCTGGTGTGTCGCAGGTGAACAGCTTACGCTTGCGGTCAGAGCACAGAGGCTCTAAGGAGTTCTCTCCTATGCCACTCATTTTCAGCACATTTCAGCAGCTGAGACGACACAGCTGCAAGTGACACGAGTGACAATTACTGGAAAATAAGTAAATGCTAATCCCAAATTTTTATTTAACAACAGAAATACCAAAGTTAGTATTGATAGTGGTACGTGATTACTTTAGTCAATATGCATCAATAAAACAAAAGACTGCTCTGAGTTACAAAAATACAATAAAAGGGCCGTTCAGTGGGAAGAGCAGATTATAGATTCATATAAATATATGTATGTTCATATTCCAGGTAAAACTAACGTGGTCTTCTCTGTTTCTTGGTGATTGAAGGAAAAGAAATCTAATTTGTTCTGCTGTGAAGAGCGACGGATGGTGATGTAGTGTTGTTAAGCCTCAGGGGAAATGGGTCATCCAGCGTGCAAGCAGCCATTGTGCAAGAATGAGATACCACTTTGCCAGCAGACGTGACAATGCACATACACACACCCACACAAAACAGTTTCCAGTGCATTAACATGCTCAGGCATGTTGCAGCACACTGCGTATGAGAGAGAGAGAGAGAGAGAGAGCAGTGCGAATACTAAGGCTTCTGTTGTGTGAAAGCACATATTCACCAGTCTGCCTCTGTGTTAGTCATTCCATAAAAGCTAAGGAAAAGTCTGACACGCTGCTCCAGCTTAGAAAAAGCTAGGCAAGTCTCTACATCGATTTTTTTAATTTATTCTTAGCCTGCTGGATTTCACTGACACCCTGCCTCATTTAACACTGTAGTTGCCCCCTGTCTCACCCTTTTAAAGTTAATTTTAGAGCTCTACAGAAAAGCTACAGCTTTTTATCCAATGAAAAACATGGGACATTAAAACATGAAAACTGGATGAAGCTTGCAATTCAGTCAGAGCAGATTGTCTCCTGCAGCCCGGTCTTTGAATGTGTTCATACATGTTACATTTCATTGTGCTAGCATGTGTGTTAGTGCCTTTAAAACACACAGTGATCTCGGTCCAGAGTGGGAACTCTAGAACGCATGAAAATCATTACGCAACTTTGGCTCAAAAACAGCAGCCAGCGACCATGGAAAAGGTCGGAAAAAAGTTGGAAGGTAGGAAAAGCTAACAATACCAGAGATTTGACAGCCTTTAAGCCTGAACATTTGGTTGGTGGCGACAGATTTTCATAATGGAGTGCGTGCACATCTGTGTAGAAGTAAGTGTAGCATCAAGAACTATACCACATGCTCACCTTGGCCTGGACAAGCCCCAGTAAAGTTCCATTCAGGATGTGGTGTGATTGGCTTCCTGAAAGAATAAAAAAATGTTAATAAACTATGGGATGCTACTACTAATAAGCTAATAAGCTCCTGAGACAGAGTCATTGCTAAGTTGCGTCCTTCCTTTCAGTTATTTGCCATTATTTGAATGATCCATCTGGTCAAATCTGGATTATAACAGCAACAGTTGCTAGGATTAGATCCTTTATTGTTACTTACTACAGATTCATGAATAGCCTATAAAGCGTTGTTAGCTAATGGCAATTTGTGCAACTGACACTCCACCTGTTGTTTAATGTATTAAACTGCGTTTAATGAAATTGCATTTTATTAGGTATGAAGTCATTTGGCACACTGCCTCAACAGAGAAATGTCGGTCAGTCATGATCAGAATAGCAACACGGACATTCCTGCCTGAAATAAAGCCTGCAATCTGAGCTGCCTGAGACAAAGAGGTAGGCCCGACAATAAACAGTGACCCACCCAAAACAGAGAAAACTGACAGGGTCCACAATCTGAAACTGCCAGGTCCAATCCATCAACAAATGTTTCTTCTTATTGTCAGGCTTTATTGGCCAAATAAAAAGAAAAGTGATTCGGAACATTGAGATTGTATAAAATGAATTAAATATACAGTAAATGTTTCCAATGCAAACCTCAGTCAAGTTTACTGATCAAACTCAGAGAATCAAATATGAAAATAATCACTGCATTCCTAAATTAAACACTTTTAATTTTCAATCTAAAATGTATACACGCTAATAAAGGAGAAATAATTTGATGTCTGAGAAAGACAAAAAAACCAAGACAAATTTAATATCCCTGTGAACACAATGTTTGGAAAAAAATTAACAGTGGAAACAAAATCATGGCAGATATCAGTCTGCTTGTGTGTATGTTTGTGTGTGTGTGCACACAACACCATCCATCATATAATGGACAAAGAGCAGAAAGGAACAAATAAACATGTATGGCTCTACAACAACACAGAGGCAGCTTTGATCACTTTATTACTATGAATATTAGTACATTCATGAATATGTCAACAGTATGATGTCCCAGAAGCCAACGCTCTGGGGTCTGATCAGCCACCAACACAGAAGCAGTGTAAAAACAAAGAAGCCGTGGACATTTCTGTAGAGATTCATGGACTGCTGTTGGCCAGGGTTTTATTTACCTTCAGGTTAAAGGACAGAGACGTATAACTGGTTTAGACAGCAATGTCAAATCTCTGCTGCAACTGTGTTCCTCAGCAAACAGGAAGACATTTCTTTTCAGGGAACAATTCTATCTTCACTTTCCCAATCTTGCTCCCTCTCCCTTATTCTCCTTCCTTTCTGCGCTCACACCCAGCACTTCTACTACCAGCAAAAGAACCACCTCCCCCAGCCTTCCCCACTAGCATCGCCCCTGCTGGATTGGCAGAGTAAACACAGGAAGAGGGAGGGCTCTATCCCACCACAGCAGAGTGGAGGCTGGGCGTTCCTGCACAGCTCCTGCGCTGGGGTCAAAAGTTTACTGTGGTTTTTATTTCACCTTTCCTCAGCCAATCACTGCACCACACTGCGGTGCCTGAACTTTGACCCCAACAAAGATGTCAGCTCAAAAGACACCAGGTTCGCAAATGCACCGCCTTTCACTCCCCCTCCCTCACTAGTCTGTTTCTATTCTCTTAAATGGTCAGTTATGTGTGTTCAATGAAGGTATAGTTCAAAAGACCCAAGGAATCCTGAGAGGGGCAACAGAGCCTCAGTTGGGCTCAGGGACCAAGGGTTGAAGACAGGAGGAAAACAGACAGATTGAGTATAAAATAAAAATTAACTAAGCTTGGTTTATGCAAGCATGGGCAGGTTGTAGCTACCCAACATTGTCTTTAATTTCACGAGAGACTTGTCAACCTCTACTGTTTATAGTTTAGTATAAATATTGTGAGTCAGGGTACATCTCTGTGAGTAAAGACCAAGTAACCCACGACTGAATGTGAGTAACATTCAGGGCTTTGAGAGTATTACATTACAAACTCTGTCTGCCATGATGATCATGTGCTCTGTACTACTTTTGGAAAAACATGTGACATTTCACAATCAATGCAAATGCACCAAAAATGCTCTCAAAACCAGTTTCAATCATTTCGAGCAGGAATTTTGTCACATCTCCTGAATTCTACTGAAAATATCGTGAACACCAGGGAGACACTGCTGACAGTGATTTATGTAAAAATGAAACACTGCACAAATATGTGGCGATGCATTTAGGTTACATTTTTCACATACAGTGCATAATTGAAGACGATAGTGACTGAACAAAGCTGCTGGTACGGCTACGGCTCTCTACACAGTTACTTTGACAGGTCTGCTGGTGAGGCATGAACCAGAAAGAAAATTCTACCTTCAAAGTTTGGTTGAGTGACATTCAATGACATACAGTAGATCTTACAATCCATAATAGCTTCATCAGCAGGGATCAGTGCTAGGATACGCTCTGTGACTCATCTTTTATAAGGATTCTGACCGCAGTGTTGGCAAAGACGTGTCAAAAATGAGGGATTATTTCTGCCTTATTTTTATTGTTATATTTTCTAATGCGACTGCAGTGTCAGTTGAAGATTATTCAATACAGAAATTTCCAGTTTTTCGGGCTAACGTGCAACACATTGATCTTGGAGTAGCAATAACATTGTGAAGGGAAAATGATCTTTAATTGTATGTTCAATCAAAGTAAATTATATTTTCATTATAAAATCTGAATCTACTGTTGAGTCCAACGTCAAATCTTTGTCTTCAGATAAACAGATGGGAAGAAAAATGATGTTGATAAATGAATGAAGGCATATTTTCCCAACTGCTTAACATGATAAGTATTATGTGGAGATGCCTAACTAAAAACTTAAGACTTAAATGAAGATATGCATATATGTATGTTTACGACATGTATGTTTACAAAAATAGTCTACTAAAAAGTGACTGCATTTTGTCTCCAATTTCCCCTTTTGGTGCTTTACTTTACGCTGAAGAACAGACACACAGCATCTGGTAGCAGTTATCTCACATCCAAACTTTTTTTCACTGTAGCTGACTCTGCTCCAAAGCATTTTTTTTTATAAAAGGGGGCCCTAAACAAAACACAAACAAGGTCTTGCTAACATTTTACAATGGTAACAAAACTAGGCCAGGGTGCTACCCTCCCACTGGCTTGTTCAGGTGAAAGCATTTTACAAGCATTCTTGAGCTGGGGGAGCAGAAAGTTAAAGGGGTAGTTGAAGTTAAAGAGGAAGGGCAAAGAGGTAAGGGGGTGGAGGGGGACAAAGCTCTTGGCACTCCCTTCCCCAATAAAACTTAGCCTTCAACCAATCAATGAGGACTGCAGAGGGTGGACTGTTCCAAACCCTTGCTGGTTATAAACTGGAATTGGGTGCAATGATTGCTTCAGGTCGCCTGTTTGCCTTTAAGAAGTTTGCAGGGCTCACATATGGTCAGGCCTTCCTAGCACTTGGGTATTACTTCAGAACCAAAGACAAAGAGACACCAGAGATCAATTAGACATGACATCAAATGCAGTCAGAGTAAAAAATGGTACCATTTGATTTTCAGTCATCAGGGTTTGGTTGTGTCTTTTGAATCCTGAATTCATCAATCCCAACATACAAAAGTGTGATTCTGACTTCTGACCGACACTTCCAGTTAAAATTAAAGAACATAAAATTCTCAATTTTAAGGCCAACACACATAAAACAGTCTGGGAAATGAATCACTTCTGCATGTCTACATTTAATTGGAACCACATTGGCCTTGACCTTGTTGGTTATCCACAGTTCTTTCTAGACTGTCACTGTTACTTTATTATGTTATTATATTATTTTAAACACTTTACTAATAGTCATGACTCCTTGACAAACTTATAAAATGCCAAAGATTTACATTAATGTATTATATTTTCTTTTAGAAATTATACAAAATGCATCTTGAAATTTGACAATTTCCATCATGATTGGCCCTGATTGGCAACCGTAAGCACACGTATTTTTGGTATTGCAGCTGATTTTGCACATCTCTTCTGTGTTGGTGAACACTCAAAGTTGATCAGAACATCCCACTTAATACGACACATCTATCACCACCATTGAGCCATCAAGGCTAAACAGATGTAGCATTACTGCGGGCGTTTTAATTCATGTCATGCTAGAGTGGCCACCTACTGACCCTAAAGCAGCAATTATTTATACAACTGGACACGTAACATTATTTTAATGTCAAGAGCGCAATAACCAACTGTCAATATATCTATCTCATGTCCCAGTAGTTGGCTTCGACCATGTCAACATACACTCTCTCTTCCACACGCACACACAGGCACACACATACACAAACGTGATTTATCAGCAGTGAAAACATCTAGCACATCTGGAGTAGTGGGCCACTACACCAACTATAACAGTTGTGGAACTGAATCTCACTACAGCTACACAAACAAATGTTTGTTGTTGATCCTGATTATCAGCGCTGGACCTGTAAACAGATGGTGCTTTATAATGGGAAGCTTTAGCCCACACACTTTCAGCTACTGAAGAAGGAATGATTGTACATTCACTCTTTTTAATGCAGTGGTTGGTGCCTGTATTATACCAGTGAGACAGAAACTCCAGTGTCAACTGTACGCTGAGTTCAGTTGCTCCACTCATAAGAACTGAAAAACATAATTAACATGTAAAACAATCTACAAAGAATTTCCTAACTCTGCAGTCAAGCTTCTCACAGCCAACGTCAGAGTTTACTGCTGCACGCCAATGTGACAACTTCCAGATAACAACGAATAATTAACTAAAAAAACTGATCAGTTTTGTAAAGAATGATCACATTAAGAAAGGAGGAAAGAAATTATTTGGCAGAGTCAATGTCAACAGGAGCATGGCCACATCACAACATTTGTAGAATTCAAATCAAATCAAAAACCCTTTTTTTTAAAGTAAAGTGAACTCCTTGTCGTTGTGACACTGCTCATCACTGCACACAACCAACTGTGACCTCTGCTTTAACCCATCACCAAGCACCAGCAGTGTGTGGGCACGGTGCCATGCTCAGAGCACCTCAGTGGTAACTTGACAGCTGGTGGACTCGAACCTGAAGCCTTCCAGACCCAAGTCTGCTTCCTTAGCCACTAAGGCACCACTGCCCCACCACTGCATTTAGTCAAACAAAACTCCACTTCACTCACTTATCATCGACTTGTTTACCTTTTTTTCACACCAAACAAATCTCTGATACTACAAAACTATCTTGATATTCAGCTGAACCTAGCAACTGAGACTGCTCTGCAACCCCAGTGTCACAGACACAACTCAGCCTGTATATTATTAATGCACATGTCAATGTTTCACACTTTAACTCTACTGACAAATTAAACAAAATGTGTCAATATGTGTAAGTTGCATCAACAATGTGGTAATCTATGTGTTTATATATTTATTTATTTATTTATTAAGATATTTTCTGATTTTCATCAGTTACACAACTCTAATAAAAATAGTATTTACATAGTTTCAATCTTAGCCCAACTTTTTGGATGCAACCCAGTGCACTTGCGGTTCAAGGATCCTAGTCCGATTCTTTTTCTTTGTACTTTTTTTAAATCACGGCTGCTGCATCTGCTGTGAAGCAACTTGTACTAAAACTGTTACTAACAGTCATTCCAGTGTTTAATAAGGGCGTTTTTTATGTAGATGAAGCTGGTAGGATTGAACTAAGACAGCATTTGGATTCATTTACTTGAATAAGGTCACTCATGAACCCCGAGTTACTGCTGCAGATCAGCGGCACACACGGAATCCCAGTCTCGTAAACTTTGAACACAGCAGATAATGGAAACACACCGAAAACAAGCGCATCAAACCCTGATGTAGTTGTTTAGTGAACTTGTCGAGAAACTTGCAGTAAATTGAAAAAACGACTATTTCATGTGTATAAAGGTGCTTCGCTGTTTCAAAGTGACTTTAAAAAACACTGGCAGCGTTCGGATGCAGTGCAGTATTAACGGGTTCGCGTCCGCTTTAAAAACACTACAAACAACCGAGGTCTCATACAAGACCGACTGGTAAACTCAAACAACAACACAACTTACCTGTGTATACGCGTTCTTTAGACGGCAGCGTAAATCAGTTTCCTTCTGTCGCCTTCTACAAACTCACCGCCATCTTCCGCAGGACGGTGTTTGTTTAAATGAGAAACACTCTCCGAGCGGGGGTAGCCAGCTTCAAGCAAAGCCCCGGGCATTCTGGGTAATGAAGTTTATGGCACTCTGTGCCTATTGTTGCTCACAATATGTAGGATATTACGGAAATATTTTTATTTTTATTAAAATCCAAATAACAGCGACCATAGATAGATGGCTCTACAGATATCAGTCCCCATGATGTTGATGACGATGGCTTTACTGACATTTATCAGCAAGTTGTAAATATAAGTTAGAAGTTGTAAGTAGACAATTTTCAGTTAAACAACCAAAAAATATTTCCAACTCTTTTTAACTCTTTTTGTTAATTTTTATTTAAACAAAAGTATCTTGAACTAATCTTTTGAGAATATTTTGAAATTATGCAAATCATATATTTTTTAATGATTTCATTTATTAATTGGACTGTTTCATTCATCCACTGGTGGTGGAATTTAAAAGTCCCATTTAAAATAGGAAGTCACAGACATACATATACTGTAAGTACTTTGGGTGTTTCACTGGTAATGGAACGAGTTACTCAGTGGAAACTCAAACTGAGGTAACAGGCGTCTATTTATGTTTCCTCCCACAGCACAACAGCAACACTGACCACCTCCATGTCTTCTGTCTCCTGTTTGTATGAGTGCGATATGTTGTCCGTCATAAATTCATGAAAATGAATGCTTTCAGATCCTTAACAGCACTCCTCTCTCTGTCCTAAACACACTTCCTTCCCCTTCCTCCTATTACCATACAGGTGCACAATAATACAACATTTTAACTTCTTCAAACAGTGGAATAGACTATAATTCACCAAATATTAAGCATCTCAATACGCTCACAGAGAGACAGAAAACGCAAACGCAGTTGTGACACTCTCAGCTGTGAATCGCAGTGCAGAAGTCTGTATTTGGCGCCATCTTCAGGGTCATACATTTATTGGCAAAGTGTGCGTAACGAGTAGAAAAAAGACCGTTTAGATTACAAATAAAATACACAACAAATTCAACATAATAGCAGATGGAGGACTGAAGAAAATTATTGTCACATGTTTTGTCTTTGAGCTCATGCTGATCCTAATGGCAGCATGCCTCTCAAATATAACTGTCAAAAAAGTGAACCAACCCTTTAAATACTTTAAATAATACTACCATTAAAATGGCTTGTCAATCTTGTCTATCCTCTTTGCAAATTATTTGTCAAATTAAAACTTTTCCTTTGTGATCAAAGTTTATACAGTACTGTGCAGACGTTTTAGGTGAGGCATTTAAAGCAAATGTGGAGAACCATAAGGCACTGCCAACCACAGACAGCCAATAACAACCTGGACTAGAACTGTTCATTCATGACACAGGGCTAATTTCCCAGCCACAGAGAGGTGACCTCACTGATGAGAGCTTCCAAGAACAAGTTCTTAAACAACCATTGGATTTATCCCCAACACCTCAGGATGGCTGGAAATATTAGCCGTTGAACATGAAATTCTGGTTTGTTACTCCACTCCTTCATGAAGATATAATGTTAAACCTAAACTCCAGTTAGTGGAACTATAAGTCTCTGTTCTTACAGAATCATGAGTTCAGTCTTTGATAATAATTGAGTCGACACATGATCCAACCCAGCAACACAGAGTTGTCGTGCTGGCTGTGACACAGGCCAGAGCTATAACCATGCACAAAGTCAAGTATAATGCAACATGACCCTATACTAACACTACTGGGTATATATAAATTAGTTATAATAACTAATTTAACAGTTTTTGAAAAACCTATAAGGTTTCATTACTGCCTACTAAGATTACACCATTGGTTTTCATGCCTTTTCTAAAATTCAATGCATTTCTTTACTACAATAGGAGGTTCCTGTGTGGCAATTAATTTCTTAAAATTCATTCTTTATTCACCATTTTTGGCTCTTGTTAAATTGATGTGTTTTTAATTCTTTAATTCTTTCTTAATTTTAAGTAACTGAAAGCCATCTAAGTCAGCCATTTTAGCTCATTTGTGTGTTGTATGTGTGTAATTATTATCTTAATCCATACTTCTAACTATATAGTAAATCAATATATTTACTATATTTGTAGTATTGCAAAATTACTTTAAAATGTAAAGCATTGAGTGGGTAAAGAATAATTTGATTAAATATTTCTTCCCCAAAAGTTAGTTGCATGGATCTAACAGTTGCTAATTGAAAATGACTCTCACAGCTCTGTGTTAGTGGAAGAGCATTTGGGAGATCTCCATTGCCAGGTCCAGACACTCTGTAGCGTGAATGCAGAGTTCACAGAGAGGACAGTCACAGAGGAGGCAGCGGCAGCTCAGACAGTTGCAGAGGTCACAGGGATGGGCAACATCCAGCAGGGTTGCAGGTTGGCAGCCACACAGGTATGAGGAGAGGGACCACAAACACTGGCTGCATCCCCTCAAGGTGACCAGGATACAGTCCAGAGGATGGCAGAAGAGACAGGCCAGGAGAATGGCAGCACACAGGTCTCACAAAGACAAAAGTGAAGGTTAGAGAGAGTGGACTAGCTCTTAGAAAGATTCAAATCTTTAGTGTAGTCTGGTATGCTTACCCTCTTGCTCTGCTTCAGCCTGGACACTCTCTGTGCTTCTGGTCATCGATGTCAAAGACTCTTTGATTTCATAGACAGTGTTATTCTGTTTGGTAGATGGCAGCAGAACACTCAGTGGACGTGGCTGTTTTTTCTCAACCTGGCATGAGCCGCCAGTGGACATTTTTCTGGAAGCTTCATCTGTTGAATTAATTTGCTGGTTTGATTCCACTGGGTTTTCTGTATCAGGGTTACAAATGGGCATACGGGACCAGGAAAAGTTATTTCTTTTATTTGGTCAAATAAATATATAGTTCTGTGTCTCACCTCTCATGTCCCACGTTCCCCAGGCCACCCTCCTTCCTTCCTGTTCTAATGTATCCTGTTCCTGTAATTACCTGCTTCTGCATAATGTGTTCCACCATATGTATTAATCATCTATCCTATCTCTAAGCCACAGCATCTTCACTCACAGAAACAATCAGAGCAGGGTACTTTCTTTAATGATCTCTGTGTATTCTCTGACCTGCATTAAGCTACATGTTTTACTTACACACACGTCTCTGAAGAACTAAAGTCACAAAGCTTCTGTACTAGATGAGGCACAGACTTACCTTCAGTAATGTCTCGAAATTCACTATTTATCTGGTTGGCTGTGTATTCCGAGTCGTGAAGCTCTAATTCCGCTACACTCCCATCATCAACTGTACACTTCAATTTGGAATCCATCACATTTTTTACTTCAGAACAAACACAAACACTCACAACAGAAGAATAATCTGCAGATTTTGTATATTAAAAAATAGAAATGTATCCAGGAGGCAAAAGTGATCAAATGAAAAAATCAATGAATGTCAGCAGAGTGTGTACTGCAGAGGCAGAGTCCAATGTAAAACTGCGGTGTTTGTGGCTGTTGGTGATGAGTGGTCACCTCAGATTGTGCAGATAACTTAATCTATTATTAATCGCCACTTTGGGAACATTAAATTGCAAAGCAGTGTGTAGATTTCCTGATAGCTTTACAAGAATGAGAATTCTCTAATCTGCCATGTTAATAATTCATCCAGTATTTAAGTAAGACTTGCCTTATACAGTATTTATGTGAGTATAGATGTGCATACAGCAGCAGCTATTTTGAATATAATTACACATTATTCAAGTATTTTAATATATCGTACCACTTTCTATATAATTGTATAAAACAGGATTTAATGTAAAACAAGATAAGCACAATCTCGAATTCCATAAGTATTTGATTTGACTGTCTAACAAATACAGTTGACAACAAACACAGCAATTCCCAAAATGTATTTATGCATAATTGTGTGGAAGTGCTGACAAACGCTGGTGTTTTTTGTAGTTATTGCTAATTGATTGCTTAGTGAAAGTAAAAGTAAAATAGTTTAATAAGTAAACGTCTGTTCTGATAAGATCATGTTTAACTTAGTTTTTTGTTGTTTTGGTTTCATTCACCCATCTGGTAGTTCTCCCTGGGACTCAATTGCAACTCGTAGTATGTCGTTTGTCTTTTACATCTAATATGTATTATTATTATTATTAATATGAACGTCCAGTATGGGGCGATAATGTAAAAAGTGTTTTCTTTTGCAAGAAGAAGAGCGCTGACCAATGACGTTTCGCGCTCTTCTGAGTAGTAACGAGTTTATCCGATTGTTGCCGATGTCACATCCGGTATAGTCGGCGCTAGCATAGCAGTAGCTGGCGAGCTTCCTCCATTCTCGATTTGTGTTCGATATTTTGCTACATTTTTACACCGACGAACGAGTTTAAAATGGTAAGTGACTGGAACACCGTCTCTCACTTTAAAATAAAAAAACATTTTTGTTAATAACATGATGTGGGGCTGAAATAGTTTGGTCAAAGAAAGGTTAACATGGCGCTAACTTTACCTCTAGGATCATTAAGTGACAAAACTGTCGTTACAGGTTTTCATATATGACGTTTTAAACTGATATTTTAGCAGATTCGAAAGACTTGATTTGAAAGGTGCAATAAACAAGTTGGAAAGCAATTATTAGCGGAACATTACTTGCACACATAATCCCAACTGCTTGTGTTTGCGTGTACGTGGGTTTATGTGTTTACATGTATGTAATGTATTTATGTGTATGCATGTTTATATGTGTACGTTTCTAGTTAACTGTGCTGGTACTGTACCAGATATGTTACAACAAAGTAGAAATGAACATTTTTAGTTAATATTATTGAAAGAATAATTGTACTGATTGCAGAAAACTTTCTTTATTCGCGTGGGTTCATTAAATCAAACATTAACTGATTTACATACACATATACACATAACATATTACGTACAACACGTCCTCAAATTATTATATTAATTCCCTAATTTTCCGAAGATCGATTGATCACTCTATCTATCTATTATTGAATAATCACACGATATTCCTCATACAGATGCATAAATTCGAAATTAATAAGTCCATGTGTGTTTTGATATTCAGTTTATCTCACGTTAACTTGAGTTTAAAGAACTGTGTGGTACATTTGGACAACATTGCTTTATGTCTTTGCATGTTTTTTATAAACTGTGTGCTTATTGTGTTTGTTCATGTTTGCCCTTCTCTTTAGTCTGTATCCAAGATGCTGTGAAGAAATCCTGACTATAAAGACATGGCTCTTACCGTTTGTTTAAAGGGAATGTCCATTGGTCCAACCATTGGTTGTGACATTCATGTTATTATGTTTTTCAGGACAGTGAGATGTCTGACATGGAGCCTGCACTAGGTCCACGAGGCAGCATCATTGAAGGAGAGAATGCTCCTCTTTACTGCATCTGCCGCAAACCAGACATAAACTGCTTTATGATGTACGACCAAAAAGAAAAACACGTTCTTCTTCGTTCAGAACTATTTCCATTTTGTATGTTAATTTCTATTTTTTCCACTGACAGTGGCTGTGATAACTGCAATGAGTGGTTCCATGGCCACTGCATTAACATCACTGAGAAGATGGCCAAGGCTATCCGTGAGTGGTACTGCATGAAATGCAGAGGTAATAACACGTGATTCTGTTCTCTCAGTCTTAGCATCAAATAAACAATGTTTTTATTCGGAATAATTTGTGGTTGCTTTCTCTTTTGGTTGCCAGATGAAAACTCTTTATTGGAAATAAAGTACAGAAAAAAAAGCAAAGAGAAGGATTCAGAGTCTGACCGAACTGAAAGAAATTACAGCACACCCAGTACACCAGACTACAGGAGTGAAAGGAGGCGAGGTTCCAAAGCAAGTAGTTGTTCTAATTTAAACATGTTTTTTTACCACCCTTTCATCCTTGTGTTATGGCACAAAAAGTAACAATGAATTTTATCTCCAACTGCTACTTTGATTGTCAACTGAATTACTGTAAAGTCATACATTTCTGCCCTGACTTGAATGACACAATGTAACTGTCATGCTTTTTGATCATGATTGGTTTGACCAATTGGTTTATGTGGTTGGGCAACATATCGTGTGTATGTATTAAAAAACAATGGAGTCTTTAAACAAAACTTTTTTTATCCTATAGAAAATAATTCTGATCTATTCTGATCATTTGTAATTTTTTTATTATTATTATTTTGACTAGTCGTAAAGGAGCATTAAGATGCAAACATGACTATTTCTGTTTTTGCAAAAAAAAGTTTTAGCAGTTTATTTAACCATCTCCTCTTCTCTTCAGGTGAAACGTTCTGTGCGAATGTGTGGTGAGTGTGAGCCCTGCAGACGGACAGAGGATTGTGCCCAGTGTGACTTCTGTAAGGACATGAAGAAGTTTGGAGGTCCAAACAAAATCAGACAGAAATGCAGATTCAGGCAGTGTGAAGTTCGAGCCCGGGTGAGTGATAACATTCCTGTGACCTAAAGAGACAATTATTATTACAGGACAGTTATTCAATATTGTTAAAATATCTCTAGATCTAATCCCCTAATAAAGCTTTCTCTTTAAATCTGTGAAGGCTCAAACATTTTTTTACATTTCTTTTCTTCTCTGAAGGTGTCACAACAATAAACTTTAATGTTTTTTTTGTACAGAAAATGTTGCGTGTGAAGGATGAGGAATTCTCGTTGCGCGAAAAGAGGGATAACTACCACAAGCGGAGGCGGTATTCTGATGACTATGACAGTGAGGTCGAGCTGTACCAACAGTACAAGTCTTCAGCTCGGGACTCCAAAATGGTAGGAAAAATATGCATGTTATTATTGCAATTGGTGCAAATCAGCATCTTAAAAGGAACAAACTGTGCTGTTAAACTGTGATTAGTGGGTACTGGCTTCACAAGCTGTCCAATTGCAATAATTAGTGGGTACTGGCTTCACAAGCTGTGTCATATGTTAATGTATGGGGTTGCAGTTAATACTATATTAAAGAGACATCTCAGTTTCTCACTGACTGTTTTCTCTCCCTTCACTCAGGCATGGGCCAGTGATGAAGATGATGAGCCTCCATTCCCTCCCATCATGCGCAAGAAAGCAGTGAAGGTGAAGCACGTGAAGAGACGAGAGAAAAAGTTTGACAAAAAAGTAAGACTTTTTTCCACTAAAGAAATGTGTGTGTATGTATGTACAGTATGAGCCACCAGATATTTAACACATCTAGTTTTCACCTGTTTAGAAGGAGTCCCGGCGCCACAAACAGAAGCAGAAGCACAAAGACAGAAGCAGGCACAGTGAAAAGGGAGATGTACGGGATGGGGGCAGGCGACGTCAATGTCTGGGACCAAGTTGTGTGGAGGCAACAAGACCTAACTCCAAATACTGCTCTGAGGACTGTGGAATGAAATTGGCAGCCAAGTAAGAACTTGGGGTGTTTCCCATCTCTTATTGCTCAATCAAATGCAAACTTTATGGGCCAGCCACTGATGTAATCTGTGATATATTTATGTAAATTTGTAGCCGGATCTATGAGATCCTCCCTCAGCGTATCCAACAGTGGCAGCAGAGTCCCTGCATAGCAGAAGAACATGGTAAGAAGCAGCTGGAGCGAATCCGCAAAGAGCAGCACAACGCTAGGCTGCGTTTGACTGAAATGGAGCGACGCTTCCATGAACTGGAGGGAATCATCGCCCTGGCCAAGCAGTTCAACAGGAGTGAGAGGTGAGGGTGCAGCTTGTTTATCACCATTTTTTTACAATTTGATTTAATTTGTTGCAAATTTAGAATTGCATTAACCTAATGGCCTAATGTAATAATTAACTCCTACTGCTGTTTGCAGGTAAATGAGGGCGACAGTGAGGACACAGATCTCCAAATTTTCTGTGTGTCATGCAGTCATCCTGTGAATCCAAAGGTGGCTCTAAAACACATGGAGAGGTGTTATGCAAAGGTAAGCAGGTCCTTAATATTATCTTTATTAGTAAATTAGTATTAGTAAATAATAACAGTTTCTCCTAATAAATATTTCCACAGTACGAGAGTCAGACCTCCTTCGGCTCCATGTATCCTACAAGAATTGAAGGGTAAGCAGTAGACTTTTTTTGTTTAAACATTTGTGCTTAAAATTTCTTAGAATGTTTTTTTTTTATCTTAATAAATACAATTGTTCTGACTACATATTTCTTTACATCTATCTAATCCATAACTTAACTATACTGCAAAGTCTGGTTGAACAATGTTGATCAGGTTTTATTTTTGTTTTCATGTGTTACAAAAACCTTTTGTCTCCAGAGCCACAAGACTTTTCTGTGACGTATACAACCCACAGAGTAAAACCTACTGTAAGAGGCTCCAGGTTTTATGTCCAGAACATTCCAGAGATCCTAAGGTGAGTGAACCTCATGAAAGCCAGTGTCAGGTTGAGGAGGTACTTGTATCTGATGATCTGGTGTTAGGGGGTGTTACTGTCCCACTGGAAAGAGCAGCTCACCTTCACCCCACTCAATATCACTACTATTAAGAATGTTAGCATCACCATCTGCATCCTGGCTCAGGAAATTCCTCAAATAATGGAGGTAAATTCCAGCCTTCATCCTCTGCCATCCTAAGGTCCACCCAGCTCCTAAGACCTAGGTGGCGCTCACTGCTCCCCAGGAATGGGTCGAAAGGATAAATGAGGAGCATATATGTGTCTGTATACGTGTATACAATGACTTGCAATTGCATACAATTATTTATTTAAAATGTACTCCGTATGAAAATGACTGATGAATGAGGCAGCTTTTTACAGTTTCTAATGGGAAGAAAGGGAGAAGGAGCTGTAACAGGTAGACGGGCTGTAATAATATCAGACCTCAACCTGTCTGTCCAAGATAGACGTGGTGTCACTGGAGCTTTCTGAGTTGGTCATACCGACCAAAGAAAAGGAGTTCATTATGCTGCATGAGGTTATTTTAAATGTGTAATCTTGTTTTTTCTCCCTGTCTCTCCTTCTGTCCTCCTCTGCCTTCAGATCTCAGTGGATGAGGTGTGTGGATGTCCCTTGGTCAAAAATGTTTTTGAGCTAACAGGAGAATACTGCAGAGTTGCCAAACGAAAATGCAACAAACATTACAACTGGGAAAAACTCAGGAGAGCAGAAGTGGATTTGGAGCGAGTCAGAGTGGTGAGCCATTGATAATGCCTTTATTGATTTAACTAATATGTATAACTGGTTGGTTTTTTTAATAAAGGGGATTAAAAGAAAATAGTTGACTAAAGTGTTACATCTGTAACTCTGTTACTCATTTACCCTTTCCTTGGTAATAATAAAATCTTTTGTATTCCAAAGTGGTACAAATTGGACGAGCTCTTTGAACAGGAGCGTAACGTCAGGACAGCCATGACTAACAGAGCTGGTTTGCTCGCTCTGATGCTACATCAGACAATTCAACATGATCCTTTGACCACAGACCTCCGGAGCAACAAGGATAGGTAGCTGTCTACAGTACATGAGAATTGTGTAAGAGATTTAATTTACAGAGCTAGATTATGCTGTAATTTTGTAAAAAAAGTGGTTTTCTAATCAGATAATTTTAATATCTTTGTATATTTCAATTAAGTTAAATTGTGTTAGAAGACATTTTTACTTTACTAGTTACCTACTGTTAGAAAGGTTCTGTTTTGTTCTGTCTCCGTTTTGTAACTCTGATTTAAAACTGTTTTGTTGATTGTATTGTCATTAAAATTGAGGGCTGCAACAGATACTGGCATAATGCTGTGATAATTGTTGAATCATATTTAAGGATTATCTCGTATGGTTTTAATGTATAAAAATATAAGCTTATTTTCTTTGCTTTGCTTTTGTGTGTACTTCAGTCAACATAATTAGTCATTTTTGTAGAAATTAAAAAATCCAGAAGTTTGACTTAACATCTGTTTAATATATTTATTAGAAGAACTTATTTGTTTAAATATTTAGTGATAATGTTTATACTGTCAGAAATACTGTAGTAAAGTAACCTCCAGTCGTTTGAGCTTTAATTCGAAAGCTGTTCTTTCCGTGGGGATGTTTAAAAAATATTTGCAAAATAATATTGTATTCGCAAAAAATACTTTGTTTGTGCCGCCATCTAGTGGCATCAACAGTCAGTCTTTTTGTACGTTTACCAGTGGCGGACCAGATTAGAAGGCCCAATGGTTTCATATGCGACCCGCAGTTTTGTCCATGTCCGTTGGGATGGGCAAACTCAATACAAATGGAATGGTTAATACAAAATTAAAACGAGATTTTTCGAGTTTAAAATTCAAAACACAAATATTAAAAATGAAATGTGAAGAACGTTAATGTATATTAAACTCAAATGTTCTTATTGACAACGTTGATGTTTGTATCTACCCTCCATATTTGTATTAACAATGACACTTTGAATTTGATGCGAGGAAAAAAAGTTTTATTCTAATTAGCACTCGCGATATTGAACAAAAATAAATAAATTAAGCATTTAATATGGAGTAGGTGGTCAGTGGTTCTTGCTGTTTTAATTCCAGACATTACATGTGAACATTTCGTAAGCATACGGCCATGAATTATTTTGTATTCGTTGATTTCTTTTTTTTATATATGAAAAACAAAATGGGTCTTAATGTTGACAATAAAATTATTTGAAACCACATCGATTTCTGCAACCAACATGTTTCATTTCGTTTATTTTTCATGTTTTGACCTCACAAGGCTTCCGTCCGTTACTGACGGCTGTTAGCAGCTAGGTGTTAGCTGAAGCTCTATCTCCTAAAACCCCAGTTTCTCTTTGTTGCAAATGCGTTAAACCCCCGGTCAGTGAGTGTGTTTTGTCAGTATAGCAATCCATAATCATAATAACGTGATAAAGACGTATAAAACGTTTTTAGAAGTTGTATTTTAGCGCAGTGTCCCCGGTGCATTGAATGCGTGACGCGTAGCTAACCAGCTCCGCTACTCCAGTTTCTCTTTGTGAGTTCTGTCCAGGAGACCTGTGTAAGTCTTTTCAAACTCTTCTCACTGATCAGATAATGTGTGCAATAATTGTGGTTGTATGGGTAGAAAACAAGATTTACTTAAGTAAATATTGAGGGTAGCCTAAGTTAGCTAACTAGCTCACAATCTGGTGAATAAGAACGTTCATTACCATATGCCCCAACCATTGTCTCTGTTGTTAGTGTCAGATTTTTTTCAAAGATCATCCCTTTTTCTTTGATCAAAGTGGTTCCTTTAACCATGTTAAACCAGTGTTTTTTGTTGTTGTTCTAGAATATTATTACCTTGTTTTTAACCAAGTACTCAATGGTGCCTCCTGTGGCTGCCTGTGTTGGTTGCAAATAATCACATTGTAAATTAAACAGTTATTGTAAATTCACCAATGTGGTTCGAAGAAGGCACTCAATTATTAGTAATAATCTACTGAGTTGCATCTTACAGCCTAAAAAGGGTCTAACATGAGCTAAGCAGAAATGTAATATTAAGAAAAAGGAAGAAATAACCCAGTGTAAACTATGTGCATATGGACATGTAATTTGAATCTATGTTTTGGGGTTTGTTGCATTCATAGCATCATCTTTGTATCAGACACCTAGCAGCGTTGTGTGATACAGTATTGTATTGTCCATCTCTCTATCCCCAACTGTATTAATAGCTATTAACTCTAACCATTTACAGTCATGTATTAAGAAACATGAGAGGCTGACAACAATCCATAAAAATGTTGAAAATATTGATCGATGCAACTGTAACTACAGTACAGTTATTTTTGCTGGAGCTGTCATCGCGTTTCCTATCTGCTTGAGTCTGTTCTCTATAGTTTATTAAATACTTCAGAAATCCTCCTGTAAGTTTGTTTTTCATTCATTAAATTTATAATCCCTCTTAGTGCTTTCTAAGTCTTTGGTTAAAGATGCAAAAGTTTGATGAATGATGCAACTCGGAAATGGCAGAGAGTTTTCCTAGAAAACTAGCTTAACTCTATGTGGTAAGTTTGAGTTACTTTAAGGGCAGGGGTGTACTGATTCATGTTTGGCACTGGTTTAAATATAAATACATATTTTAAACACAGCCAAATTTCAAGTTATAGTGTATAATTCAGTGTATGCTAATGATAAATTATACAATATTGTATTATGTCATGTATTTTAACTTTTGGTTTGTACAATATATTTTTAATATGCACTTTCAGGTCAAAATCTACCCATAAATTCAATAAATTCTCATTTGTTCCCAGGAAGACAAGCTGGTTGGATTATAGTGTGGACTAGTTAATCAATGAGTAACGAACTAGAAAAAAGCAAAGAGCCCACTCAGAAAGATGAAGGAGAAGGCAGCAAAGTGGAAATCACTTCAGGGGCAGGATCAGAGAATGAGAAGTCAGACACACTACACACAGAACCAACCCCAGGCTCAGACACAGCCCTGGGTGACGAGCCTCCGACTGACTGGTTTGAGCCCCTTGAAGACTTTGACGGTGATGCAGAAGAAGAAAGTTTGGCAGGTGAAAGTGAAAGGAGTTTCAGCATAGCAGGCAGCGAAACAACTATTAAAAGGAATTTTCAGTAAGTAGATTTTTTTGTTGTTATCCTCCTAATTTATCATTTTTGAAAGTTGTTGAATGACAGCGCCGAAAACACTCCTACCCAACGTTTCCAGATTGCGCTTTTGTATCATCTTAATCATGTTTTTTCAACTGTTATGACACAATTTTATTCTGTGCTATTATCCACCATTTGACTTCAGTCAGTGGAAAAACACTAAAACGACCAGCATGACCTTATGTGTGCTTGTTATTGATGGGAGATGCTACTCATTAGCCGTTCTCCAGTTCCTGTAAGACCTTGACAATTGCATTCACATCCTTCCTGTTTCTGAGTTTCTGTTATTCTCCCAGGTGACAGGGGTTCTGAGGGCAACTGGCCCCCAGTCATATACAGAAGTCTGTTTCTGCATATGCAAAGAACATTTTGAAAAAGTCACCTGGAACACAAAAACGCAAGGTTTCTTTTGTGTCCATGAAATATAGCCGAGTTGCCCTTTCTATTTTTAAACCCTTTCTGGCGATTGCTATGGATACAGATATTTAACTAATCTATGTGATGATTTTCTTTCTTGATTTCAGGCTTTCCCTTCCCCAGAGAAAGCGTTCTAATCCAAATGAGGGGTGGGAGGAATGGCCTGGCCTGGGTGAGGGCTGGAAACGCAAAGAAGTTATCCGACGTTCAGGAAGCAGCATGGGACAGAAGGATGTATATTATCTCAGGTAAATCCCCAAAGTCTTTCACGGTGTAACATCTCTTTAACAGCATCATTTTACGTAAAGTAGGTTGCTAAAGAAATTTCATATACGTTTTTATATAACCCTAACCGATGCATTGGATGAAAAATGTGAAAAAAAACGTTGATAATTGTAAACACTGCCAAACTAATCCCGTTGCCCCTCTGTTCCATTCACAGTCCAAGAGGTGACCGAGTGAGGAGTCGAGTAGAGCTCATCTCTATGCTGGAGGGAGTCCTTGATATGACCAAGTTTGATTTCAAATCAGGAAAGTTCTATGAGGGCAGTGCTCCACCAACACGGGTTCGGAACAGAAAGGTATATTTTTTATTTGACTGAAAACTGTGTTATTTGAGTCAGTGATATACTTTTGTTATAACTTTAGTTTGATATCAGTGTACTTGTGGAACTGAAGGCTCAACACAAGTACCATTAAGATATTTTCACAAACGTAGAACATAAATAAGAAATACTGGCATGTTGTAACTGCTCTTGAGTGCCCTCTGCCAGATCCTACCGTAACTACTACAAACATTTGGACGCATGTACCTGTATCAGTGTTTACACTCCATGATTAACCAGGGAAATGGGCGGAATATCAGCCATGGCTAGAAAAGTTTGTCCAAAACACCGTGTATTTAACCTGCGAACCAATGTTCACAGCATATTTCTTGTATTTATCCTGCGAACCAATGTTCACAGCATATTTCTTTACATATAAGTAAAGAAACAAGTAGACGTAAAGTAAACCAATTCTGGATCTTTAATCCTAGGTCAAAGATTGACAGTAGGTTGAGTTATTTTTACAATTTTTAAAAAACATCTCAGCCATTATAATCCTTTTACTAAATTATTTTATAGATAGTTGAGGTAATTGTGATTTGTCAGCTCTGTAAGGCTTATATGTAGAATGAATTGTTCTCACTCCTTTTTTCATTCATCAGAGGAAAATACGGGAGCGTTCCTCCTCAGAGTCCAGCTTTATGGAGAGAGGAGAGGGGGCAGATACTCCTGACTCCTACTATTCAGTTACCCCCAGCAAGAACACAACGTCCAACCTGGCAGCCATGTCGCAGAGTACTTATCTAAATATGTTACCCAGCAGTCCGCATGACACGCCACATGATACGCCACATGATTCTCCACATGGTAGTCCACATGGTACTCCACATGGTACACCACACAATACGTCGCATGGCACGGCCACCGCAGCAAACAAACAGGCGTCTCGCAGTGGACATGGAGCTGCAGAAGATATGATCAGGCTTCCTTTTCCCTCGTCGTCTAAACCGCTGAGGCTCCCATCCATCAAGGGAGAATTTGGGTCGGAGGAAAACACGCTGTATGTATATGTCTCCTATACTGACAGTCTTTTTTATTACCTTTAAACCGCTTTCTATCTCAACATGTCGTAAACATTTTTTTGCAGAGTCTGTTTCAAGTGTGGCATTCCCTTCACTGGCACGTGGTATGACAAACAGAGGAAAAAACCCTGCTGCCCTACCTGCTGGGGTATGTGTGTGTGTGTGTGTGTGTGTAAAAAATAAAGCACATCCCGTGTGCCAAAGTCCTTGACTAGTGTTTCCTGATAAACTAATATACCTACTTACAATTCGAGCATTCAATATTAATTCACTATTCTTAATGAAGGAGAAACAAGCCAACAATACTCTCCAAATTATTTACATTCCTACGATGAGTAAAAATGATGGACCTTGTTAACAAATCCAGTCATTATTAATTTAATCAGACCAGATTAAGTTGTGTAAAAGACACTAACGTGCCTGGTTTGAGACTTGTCAAACCCAACTGGCCTCCAAATCTGATTCAGATCAATTCATTCCCCTCATTTAAATAGGTGCTAATCATACACTGTTTGTCTCTTTGGTTGATTGCAGCATCAAAATCTAAAGAGCATCCAATGATCCGTTACAGGAAGGTAAGACAATAATGATTAAGGTGATCAATGGTAGTAGTTTGGAGGTGTTTTAAAGACGGTAGCGAGGTTTGTTCTGTTACTACACCGTGTGTCAACAAAGTCTCTCTCTGTAGTGGATTCCTTGTGGCCAGTGTGTCGGTTGTCACAATTCCATCAACTGCGGCCAGTGTGCCAACTGCAAACATGGATTGACGAGCCCTGAAGCTCGGAAACGCGTGTGCCGAAAACGGAGGTGCATGTGTCCCATTAAGAAGGTGAGCCTCAGAATATAAATGATTAGTGTGTGTGTTTCTGCAGTACTGACGGTGATACCTTCATAATCGTGTTTTTTTTTTCGTCACCTAAGGCACCTCCAAGTGCAACCTTTCTTCAGCAGAAGTCTCAATATGACATTTCGGAGAACAATGATGACACAAGCATGAGCTTTCAGGTAAATGTAGCTTCTGTGTGACATTCTTTGTGATCTGAACGTATGGTGTGTGTGTGTGTGGTCAAGAATTTGCATGTTCATGTATTGGGCTGTCACTGTTGGACCAGAATTTCTGTTCAAACCTCAGGAAATATGATTTACACAGCTCGAAGTAGTGGCTCATACTGTAACTCATAAGGCATTTAGTTTAGAAGAAATGAAACGTTCCCTGCTTCACCTGAAGGGCGGTGGTGGCTTAGTGGTTATGGAAGCAGACTTGGGTCCAGAGGGCTTCAGGTTCAAGTCCACCACTGTTCCCGTGGCCCATAAAAAGTAAACAATTTAAAGAAACCTAAGATGTGCTTGAAAAAAACAACCCATACTCCTGTTCTGTTTGTTAAAACACAACAGCTTCTCTTGTACAATAAAAATCAAAGAAACAAACAAAAGACAAAAAGATAAAAATAATCCAAAATACTTCCCAAAGGATAACTTAATGTCATTCCAGTGATGGCCAGATGTGGACTACAACCATAACAATAGTGTCAACTGTTCTAACAGAATGTTCTTGTGTTTTACAGAGTGAATTTGCAGATGAACAGGTAACATATTTTAATATTTATTTAAGTCACTCATGTTGCCGTAGCGTTTCAGCACCGTGACTGTGTTTTCTTTGCTGCAGCACCCGAGTCTAAAAAGCAGTGATACAGAGAATTTAGAGTACAACGTTGACGTTGATGACGACGATGACATGTCAACTGACGACGACGATGATGTAGGTATTTACTCTGAGAACAAGGCTTTCTTTGTTAATTAAACATTAACTGTTTAACACCATATATTTGTTTTTTTATTTACATTGCCTGGTAAAATGTAAATGCTAGGGATTGGAGTATTAATTTTATGGTATCAATTGATTGTAACTGACACTAATTAAGAAATGAAAAAACACACACGTCACTTTCACATCTTTTAGGGTAGATTTCTACATAAAGAGAGAGTTCTCTTGTTCATCTTAACTGTTGGTGTTTTCACCTGAACATTCTGTACCTGTTCATTATTCTCCTCATGTTGTCAAACTGTTTTTTCCACAGTGGCATAAGAAGCGAAAGCGACGCGCATGTGGAGAGTGTGAAGCTTGTCGCTGCAGGAAAGACTGCGGCGTGTGTGATTTCTGTGTCGACAAACCAAAGTTCGGAGGCTGCAACAAAAAGAGGCAGAAGTGTCGTCTTCGACAGTGTCAGAGACAGGCGATGGTACAGCTGCTTCTATCTTTTCTGTTAAAGCAAACGCTAGTTTTCTGCAGTAAAGAGATCATTACAAGCTAACCGTCTCTGTGCTGATGTTTGGCAGAGACATTTACTCCCCTTTCAGATGGGACAAGGAGAGTATAGAGCGGAGGGCATGAGTTCGCTGGGCAGATCCAAACCCCATTTCACCTACAGTCGCAAATCAAATCTAAAGAAAAACAAAGGGCCGGATGGTAGCTTCGAGTTAATTGGAAATCAAGATGATGACGACAACGACGATGACAACAGCAACTTCCAACTGGTGCGTATACGTCGTTCAATCTTCCTGTGCTGAAGACACATTTGACAGAAATCGTTTTCACACTATTTTTTGTCTCTTTCTCTAGATGAGGTGGAATTCTGAGCCTACAAGTGGCAGCAATCCAAACGACCTGACCATGACGAACAACCTCTCCCTGTTGGAGGTTAGTAAAGAGAACAATGTTTATGTTTACAAATGTTATACTCTGAACAAAAACAAAACCATAAGAGATACAGTGACACAATCCAGCCACGTATCACCAAACCACCGGCCAGGTTTCCTTCCTTCCTTTTTCTGGGCACACACAGTTTGAAAGTCAGTGGGAGCCACTGGTGTTACTGTATCTGTTATTAGTTATAAGAAACTAACCACAAACACCAACATATTATGTGTATTCATCAACTACCTCAAACACCACAGCTGACTATAATAGGCCTGGGACGATAATCAATAAATCCATTGATCGAATGATAAATGAAAATAAACTCGTCTCGCTTCTTCAAACAGGGTGCATGACAAGAGGGTTCACTCCGTGCATCAGTCTCAGCAGTGGAGCGGATTGGTCCGTTGCGGAATGATTAGAGTAAACCCTCTTGGCAGTCACCCACTCTTGGGGGGAGGGGGGGGGAGCAGCTAAAACACACACAGTCATTGTCACAGGCCAAGACTTGATAAAACAAACGGTCTGAGTATGAAAAGAGACCGAGGTGATCACAGACATCAGCGTTAAACTTGGGAATGTCTGTGACACAACATTGCGAGTCATATTTCAGGCTGGTCAGTGTGGTGTCCTGGTAATGCATCTCCACAAACTCACTTGTAATGTCCAGCTCCAGCCTCGGTTGTTTTGAGACATTGTTTTTACAATAACATTTTAAAAGTTTGCTTCAGTGTGAACATAGTTTGACGGACTTCCTTTGGACTTTCATCATGTGCACCTGCTAACTTTGTCTTTCAGCCAGTTTCTTATATAAACTTTGGACTGAGCAATGGTCTTCAACAAAAGGGACCCCTGATCAGCAAACATGACAGCAATGAGCAAGTAAGTCCACTGTGGATGTCTGCTTTTTTAACAAATTGCACCACTCACGATACAAACTACCAGACACGCACCTTGCAGTGACCCTACCATACATACAACATGTGACAGTGACAAACAAAGAAACTGTGTTTGGTTCATTTTTCATTGTTATCTCTACAGGGACAGCAAAGCAGATGGGGTGAGGAGAGATTACCACCAGGTCAAAGGCTTGTTGAGGAGGAGGAAGAGGAATTGCCAGTAGTAAGTGTCTATCTAAGAGTTTGTCCAAGATCATTTTAGATAAAAAAAAAATCCAATTGTCCACCTCCTCGTCCTACCATACTTTTTCCTATCATTTTCCATGTGTTGCTCCAGCTTCACCATCATCATCAACCTTCTCCACGCACTTCTTCTTGAACTTTTCTCACTTTCCTGCCCTTGTGTCCCTCCTTCTCCTTTTTGTGGTTTATATACTTTCTTATTTAGCTTCTTCTTCTCGTGCTGTTTGTTGAGTTCCACCTCTTACTTCTTCTATCTTCTCTCAATACATTCATCACTTTTTTGGACATCTTGATCTCCAACAGCTCTCAGAAGATGTCCAAATCAACTCAACATCTGAGAAAACCATATCATTTTAAAACCACATCTGATGATGTCTCTTCTCAGATCACTCGAATATTCAGTTGGGACGATGTGACAGTGTCGACCAGTGCCGAGAGTGAAAATGAGCTGATGAAACTGCTGCGCTCCCTGCGCTCCTCTGCTCTCCCCATCCTCTGGTACGCCATCATGGTGGAGGGCCCCCAGCTGCAGCTCATCCAGTGTTCCAAACAGTCTGTGATGTCCGACACCGTAGTGGTCATCGACCCGGGCTTTTACTTTCAAATCATTGTCCAAAAGCAGCCGCTGCTGCCGACTCACCCTCTCTATGACAGTTATTCAGAGCGTTTGACCAACGTGGCTGATGTCGTCAACCTGCTGCTGGGCCTGGAGAAATATGTGGTTTGTCAGGGCCTGACGCCGAAAGAAACACTACCTAAAAAAGAACCAATCATACTGGAGCGGGCGGCAACCTGTGATTTCTTAGTGAGGAAGAACGCAACCATCTGTATTAGCTGTAGGACGATGCAGGGACTTTAACCCTCATGACATGATGAAGCAACTGTTTCCAGTTTTTATTAAATTAGTTTCAATAGTATTTGAACCACTTTGTTCTAATTGGAGCAACATGAGTTATTTTGGAAATCACCCCAAGATGCTTTGACCAAAAGAAGTTGGAGTCAAAAGAAAAACTAGGTATATGCAATGTTGCTTTTGAATATTTATTAACGCTTAGTTCATTTTTCACATGCCTTTTTTAAAGCGCATCTGTGAACAAAACACTGCAGATTTTTCACTGCTGGATTTTTCAACCGCAGCAATTGAAACGTTTTACTCGTCTCTGAGTAAATAACAGCTGATCTTCACCTCCCCTTCGTCAGGAGCCACGTCTGTTCAGAAAAGTGTCCGTTGGAGATGTAAGAGGTTCTTTAGTCAATACTAAATTATTATTCATATATGATATTATTTGACTGAAATGCTGTTTAGCCCATCAACATACTGTTATATGTTTTTTTTTTTCCAAACAGATCTCCATGTAAGGCTGTTAAAAATGTCCAAAAGTCCATCATAATAAGTTTGAATCACAAGTCTGCAGTACCATTTTAGGAATTGACTCGACCTATTCTGAACAGGGAACATTTCCAGAAATACTCTTTACATTTGTTGTGAACTGATTTGACCCCTCCAAGTCTGAGGTGAGATGTAAAGAAATTTGGATTAAAAGCCCTGGCTGGTAGTGTTGTGTGAAGTTGGTGAAGAGAGTCCTTTTTTTAACCTCCTGTGTGTGGGCTAATGTATAGAAATTTCCAGTGTAGGTTGTTTGGCCCAGATAATGTAAAAGAAAATGGTTTAAACATCACAGCATAAAATTGTAAGGGACATTTGCTTGACAAATCTCCTGGATATCTTTTATTTATTAACAAATATATTGTTGTCCATGGTTTTTCCATCCTTTAGTGGAATGTGGTTCCTGGGATTGAAGAATAATTAAGAATATTAGAATACAAACTACCCATCTTCTAAATATCATTTTATGATAAGTATTTGTTAGAATACAAACTACCCATCTTCTAAAATATTTTGTCTATGCAAAAGTGAGTTGATACAGTATGATCACTTTGTGTCATTTGTTTCCATCTTTTTATTTACACTGCTGTCCAGTTAATGTGAGCAATATTTGAGTCTGCATGTTGGTTGTATCATGCAGACTGGCCTCAGCTTCAGACTTGGTGACTTGAAGCACAGACAAATGTCAGTCTGAGAGAATCTGGTATTTTTATAACTTCATTTACCCTGATGTGTACTGTATGTATGACCCCATACTGGACCAGCACCTGGTGTTTGGAGATTCCTGATTTATACTATACAGTACTCAATTTACCCTGTTCCATTAAACCTCTCACCCTGTTTTTTATGTGCTGATTGTCAGAAGGCCATTCACTATAGTGAGTCATTTCTGTGATGTAACAAAACTGCGTTTCAAGCAAGAATTTCTGTTTCCAAATACCATATTTGTTAAGCTATTTTTTTTAACCAATGTCTACCTGTGTTTCCATAGCAATGCTGGTCCTGTGGACTTCATGCAAAATAGATTCCTGGCATTGATGCCACTCTGCAAAAATACACAGAAGTGTTTGAACTTTGTCTTTGTCATCAGACTATTGTTGAAAAGCTTCATGTGGCTCAGAGTCTGCTGTTTACAGACCCGAGTCAGGTTAAAAATAGTTTGTCCTACTTGGTTAAATTGCCGACCAAATTATAAAGCTCAGTTCTTGGATCAGTTGAAGGTCGGGCCCTGTAAGCTCCACCCGTCGAGTTTCCCTACTCTCTCATTCCCCATCCCTGCAGCAGGCCTCTGTTTAAAAAGTCTTTTATGTAACTATTAATTTTTGTTGCCACCCAAACACAGACTGACTTTGACTGATCTAATATATATCTTTATATTTATATACAGTTTTCAGTAGGCAGCGAATTGTTCCACCATAATTGTTTTTATAATTATTTTTAATTTTAATCTTCACAGGAATCAATTTACATATGAGAATTTAAATAAAAAAAAAAAAAGATCAAATAAACTCCCCCCCTTTTCAGGATGTGAAACATTTTAATGCAGTTGGTAAAAGCCATAAAGAAAGAGTTTTAATGCATCACAAAGAAGTTTATATATATGTATATATACAATATATAGTTATCCATATATATATATAGTTATTGTATAGTATATTTAAAAGAAGTCAAAATGGGATGTTTACAAAACTGCGTACTCTAGGTATAACTGCCTCTTGTATGGATTAACCAATTCAAGAGCGGGTGAAACGGACTCAGAATTTGGAGTGTTTGTACAAGGACACATGGTCCTTGATTTACGACGTCCTCAATCTACGGCGTTTCGTGGTTACGTGTTATTCGTAAGATGTTTTTATGTCCTAGATTATGATGTCACCACTGTGTTAGTGTAGGTGAGTGACATAGGTACTGATGGACAGTGTGTGAGCAAACGGCAAATACCGAGTTACATTGGACCATAGAAATGAAATGGACCTCTGTAGTCTCTAATCAGAAAATAATGTAAATAAAATGTGAAGCTGGTGCTGAGGAATTTTTGTTCATTTGCTATTTGTTGCAAAAAAGTTCTTTAAAAAAAATATTTGAATAGATTTGATCTTTTTTACTAGTGAAAAGGGAGAGCAGTGGACACTAGCAAAGTACCTGGAAATGCATTCTGCCTTAGTACATAAGGACAATATTAATGTTGAAAGTAAGGTAAACTAAGACCTCCAGCAGCCTTTGCCTTAGTTAATTTTTTTTAAATGTAACGTGCCTTATCGTACACAAAGAGTCAAATGTAAAAAATTGAAAAAAAAAAAAGCAAAACAAGGTTCCTAAAAAGACGTACATTTCCTTTAAATCCCTGAGACTAGTTGCATTTGTTAGGTCACGGTACTGACATTTACACTATAATGATTTTTTTTCAGGCACCAGGGGAAATAGCGCCACGGTCACCGTTGTGGCAGCAGCAGACTTTGCAGGCAGCTGCTCTGGGTCACAGCGGCTTCAGATGCGCAGCAGCGCCTCGACGCAGTGGAGGACGCGACGCCGCTGCTGCTGTTCGTGACCAATCACAGTCGGGACAAGAAGACAACATGTATCTGAGGACATACCTGTTTCATTTAACGTAAAAAAAAAAAAAAAAAAAACACGGTTGCAGGTTTTCGGGAGGGTTGACTGGCTGTCGTGATCCTGCGCCGGGATGAATGCTCCTGGCTGGGCTTTAATTCCAGAAGAGCGCAAAGGAGGACGAGCAGGAGGAGAAGACGTCGGTCATGATCTTCGTTGAGCAGTAACATCTTCATGTCCTGACTCGACACGGAATAAACACTACTGATACGGTAAAAGGACGAACACTCAGAATCCCACGTTAGTTAACACGCCATTATTCGATGGTATTTTCTGTGTCGTTTGTGTGTGTGTTTATCTTTCAGTGCATGTGTGTGCGCGCGGGTACATGTTTGCCAGCGGTGACTTATGTGTGATGTTAACCGGTCGTCGTGTGTTTGTTTTCTCACGGCTTGTCCACAGATGACAGCGGTGTTTTTAAATATATTTCAGGCTCAGTGTGAAAACACACGTTGACATGATTCGCGCGCGCGCACAGACACACACACATACATGCGCACGCCTGTAGAATTTAAATCAAATGCAAACGGCGTCAGTAAAATGGAAACCCTACAGTGAGTGTCTATAAAACACCAACACACAGTTGTCACGAAGGAGTGTTGGGAATTTTTTTTCTGTTTCAAACAGAATTGTTGAGTTGAGTCTGGAGGTAGAGTTTGTTTGTTTGTGGCCATTAGGGATGAACTAAACACGGAGCCGCCAACGCTCTGGGTTTACTTTGGTGTGAATTACCAGTGAAAAAAAGAGAAAGTAGGTGAAATTTGTATATTGTCAAATGTTTTAAGCTGACGTGTATTTGTTGGAAGTGGCAATTGGACCACCACCCATTTACTGAAATTGTAATGGCTGCCCACAACTATATTTAAAAAATGGATGCATGAATGGACTCAGCTGAGATACGAGCTATGCTAGTTTCTGCTAGTAACCATGCTAGTTACTAGCAACAAACTATGCTAGTAGCTCAGTATGATTGTACTGATAATTCCTCCTGTCATTATTTTAGTATTATTTCAATGGTCACAACCCTCCAATGTAGTGTCCCATTAATTGAGGAAAAAAGGCAAAATAAACAATTTGTATAAATTGGGACAATGACACTTAGGGTGGTGTTCTCCAATGTTGCCATATGGCCCAGAGTTCTACTGGGCAATGTTGCTTTTCAGTCCCATTAAGTGACCAATCCCAGTTATCCTCCCTGTTTATTTCCACTGTCTGTCTTTGCTCCGACTGCATGTGTTTTTATTGACAGTGAAGTATTGAGATTGAGACCATACTATCTTCAGCCTAATGTTTGACCTTAATGGTATTGTTAGTGTAGAAATTGGCAAATTGATTGATGGACAAGTTGTGTCAGTTCTAAGACAGCTGCTTCTCTTCCAGAAGCTCATGCAGCAGAAGCAGCTCAGTTCAGTTCAACTATTGTATATACATTGTCTACAGATAGACAATACCTATATGTTATATGTAGGGTTTTCAACAACATAATCTAAAATTTAAAAAAATTAATTAAAAAATTACAAATGTAATTAACAAAAAATACCTTTGGATGATATAATGTAAATTGGTGAAATTCATATCACATGGTTGGTTAAAGCCACTGGCATATAGATCATGTGAAGTACAATATAACAGATGAAACTGTTATTTCTCCTCGTTATCACATTTTCTTGTAAACTGTTTCCGTGGCCTGTCCATCATTACATTACATTTAGCAGACGCTTTTATCCAAAAACGACATACAATTTGAGTAAGTCAGTCAACAATCAAGCTACAGTAAATATACAAAATACACAAATACATAAATGATAAATAATAATAAATAATAACTAGTAAAATGACAGTTATAGTTATAGTAGGTCATGGAATGCAACTGTGTTGTGTGGGCTGAAGATTTGGGTCATAGTTTAGCATTTGATATGATTCAGCAAACCTGCTGTCAGTTTAGGTGTTTATGATTTTTACACTGTCTTTAAAGGCAGTGTGAATCATTACTATTATTGTATACGTGCAATTGACGTGGTTAGTAATTTAATTGCTATCCCTGAAAATACAGACCTAAAAGCTGCTGCAGAAACCACTAACTGAAAACTACTGCTGCTGCTGCTGCTGCTGCTGCCAAAGCTGGAACGGCTGAAGGGCTTTTCATTTCTGCTCACATGCTTGTTTTTTCTGCAGCAGTGTTAACCCCTGTTATTAACAGATTCCTGAACAGGGGTAACTGTCTAGATCTGAGGGAGAGAAAGAAAAAGCCCACTCTCAAACTGAGGTGGATGGGTAGGTGGAGGAATGATTTGGTCACTGAGTGCCTCGGGCCGATTCCCACCTTTTGGTGAATCTGGGAAACACCTCTTTGTTTTCACAGGGTTTTCCCTTTTGCTTGGAGCCATTACAGAAAGTGTCGCCTGCTCCTCTGTTTTTAAAGGAGCCATGAATTTGCAGACCATTGGGACCATTTGCAGAGCTGACTTTGGCTGATTTATTGCAGGTCATTTACACTCAGTTTGGTCTTGATCAGTGTTTGCTTTCACTCCCTTCTGCTTCAATGCAAATGTGAAGCTGGCAGCATGGTTTTCCTTTACTCTGAAGACGTTCCTGTTCTTTAGTTGTCTCTGAAAACCACTGGTTTTCAACTGATCGGGCTCTGGCCTTAGGTCTTTAGGTCACGTTCTGGTTCACATACACCAACCTGAGTCTGACACAACAGTACAGTGGTTACAAAATATAGACCCTCATGAACTATAGAAGGTGGATACAAACAGTTTCCTAATAACACTGTTATGACTAAAGAAATTAATTGTTTTTATTAATTTTAGAAATGTAGTACACAAACAAAAACACAAAAACACTCCTGTGCGATGTAATATCTAAGTATCAAAACATCCATTTGGATCTTTGCATACTGTGTATTGTATTCAATTTCTGCTCAAAACCCTCCCTTCCTCTGTGTCACTGACTAGACCTGTGAGCAATATAAAATTAGAACCCAACCCAGATTGTTCTAAACTCCTGAGAATTTTTTTTTAATACATAGTAATGACAAGGTGACTCTGCTGCCTCTATGCCCAGAGACATGGACTGACATGGTTTTACTCTCAGGTTCATGTGTGGACCATATGAAAAACAATTGGACGTAGACATCCATATGTGTAGGCAAATCAACTGCCCCACAGACACAGCATGTCAGACATGTTCAAAGTCTGAGGCCAAATCTGTGTCAACTTCAGCTTCCTTCTAAGAATGTTTTCTGTTACTGTATTGTCATTTATATCTCCATGGTACGCTATTTATTTATTCATTTCCGTGCCAATTCCGTAAAAGCATGTTGGGTTGTTTTTCAGGCCAATTCTTTATTTTGTTTTACCTCTCTATGCTTGGCCATCTTTAAGATTACATAGTGGAACACACAAGTGCAGAGAGTACAGGGAGTAAATCCCACCAGGTGTTAGCAGAGGGAATGGCACCAGATACTGAAATAATCCCTTCAGATGTTGTGGCCGCATTCCTTTCTTTATTACGCCGCTCCACCTCAGCTTAGCAGAATCCAGGTGGATCGCACAGTGGCTGCGATCGCTGCGTTTCACTGGTGTCAGAAGAGCAGGGGTGAGAGTGAGAGGAAGAATGAAGGCCAGTGAGGTGAAACCAACAGGACTGGGTCTGTGTTTGAACTAAACTCCCCTACTGTGACCTGACAGCCTTGATATAAATGAGACAGTCATCAATATAGAGGAGTACATGAAGTGATATCCACGGTTTGTCTGTCAGTTTAGGTCTGGTGAAGGTGTTTCTGTGACATTCTGGGAAGACGTTTGGGAAACTAAGCCCTTGTAATAACAAAATATGTCCTTGAAATTCCATATGATCGAGAGACTGAAAAGACAAAGGTAAAATATTGTGCAAAAGATGAGCGTCAAATATCTAGGTTTTCATCACATCTGTTTCTCAATTCTTTACATGACAGACTATTGCCACAAGTTAGCCAGGATATAACAGTTAAAATGTTATGCTAATGACTGGAGTTAATTATTTTCTACACATTAAAAAAGTCAAAAGACACAAAAAACAATAACACATTTTAAATAAATCTTTGTTAACTTTAATAAATAAAAAAAGAGCTATAATGTATCGTTATAGTGGATTACTCATGGATGAGCTTGCCAGTGATCTGGGTCTATTACTCATGGATGAGCTTGCCAGTGATTGGGTAAGGCTAAAGTAGCCACAAGGTAGCCCAAAAAACAAAAAATGAAGCCTACAAACATGGCTATTTATTGAAAAATAAAACTAAATCTCTAGAATAATTATCGAAATGCATCTCAAATGAAACATGAAATTGTGCAAACAATGCATTAAAGGTGTTCATTGTTTTGTATGTAGTGTAAAACTGCTGAACAGCTGTAGCTCTGCTCTGGTTACCATGTGTGAGTTTACACAGCAGCTGTGCTAACACAACGCCCGGCAGCTTCACCTGTCCACCCTGAGCTGCAGCTGATGTTTCAGCTGCTTTCTGCCGCCTGTTGTTGAACACACATGGCGAACACGTTGTGCTTCTGTTGTCACTGTCACAGGAAACACTGTGGACAACGGTGGCCTGGTCCTGGGACTCTCTAAACTCGCAGTCCACACGTGCACTGAATTAATTTAGCTAATCTTTTTACGGAGCTGACACAAGGGTAAATGTTGGTCTAATTCAATGAAGGTGGTCTCCTGGTTTCAGTTGCTGACATTATTCTGGTCAGTTTTTCAAGGAACACATGACTGAGAACAGAACAGTTCACTGGCAGGCTACATTTGTTAGCATCCCAGTTATCATAATTACTTGAACAGCTCTTTTCACAACAGTAAATACTATACAAATACATGTAATAACAATACTGCGCTACTAGGTGTGTTCCCTTTTAAAGTAATTTGAAAGACAGATGAACTTTTAGCTTTTATTCTAAATATATTTTAAAATAAAATATATTATTATTATTATAATCTGTGTTTAATGAATTATAAAGGTTATTTCATCTTTAATCACCAACACTAGAGAATTTGTTAACTAACCAAAAAAAAAACATTAAAATATAGTAAACGTGTCAAAGCACCTAAAAGAGCTGTACGTAGCCACAGAAATAGCTCAGAATTAGCGAAACATGTATTAAAATTGCTCAAATTAATGACCTAAAATTTAGAACAAAAATAGCTAAAAAAATAAAGAGAAGTCGTGCTGAAAGATTTTTGAAATCACTAACAAAGTATGTTTACCAGAACCCGTGGTCAAAGACAAACCTAGGACCGAGGACCAAACACAGTATAACTGGACTTGACCTGGATGTGTCAATTTGCATGGTGTCAGGCTGTCTGCTGTCTGTTTTGCATTCATGCTTCACACAGGAGCAGTCGTCCCCCCACTCCATCTCCCCCTCTTTCTGCGGTGCTCATGTTTTAATCCCTGTTCTCTCAGCACTATCTGCACCACCATCTACACCCCTGGCTTCACCCCTCTCTGGTAGTATGTCAACATGTGTTTGAAGAGTGCGTTGTGTGCCTGTCTTTTCTGATCCTTCATCTGATGCCATTTCACATGACTCAGTTTATCTGATTCCTCATTGTTCCATCATTTCTGCCCCAGGCTGCTGTCTGGAATGTGGTGCGTTGTTGTACCTGAGCAGCCAAGACACATCTGCTTTCAACAATGTTTGATATTTAACCTAGTGGTGACAGAGTGAGACAACAAGAAAGAACCTTATTATATATATTATTAAAAGCAACGGAAGAGAAGTTCAGGGTGTCGTCAAGTAACGTCGGAGTTCCATTTCTACGATGTGAAGTAACTCAATTTTTGCCGTAAGTTGGAACTTGCATACGTCCTATGTCCGTCACCTAGAAGAGTCTGACGTACACTTGACTTGATTTTCGGGCCTGTGGTAGATGAAGAGAGGAATCGTCTCTGACGAAGCAGTCGCTTTTGTTTGTCAAATAACAACAAACCTGCCATTAACGCTCAGATAACTGCACTGTACCTCTGTTCATGTTGGCAGTAAACATTATCTCTAATTATTCACAGCTCTTCACTTAACGTGAGAAAGACAAAGTTCACACTTGGACTTTATTTAATTTTGTTATCGTTGGTTGTTTAATTTCTTATTTTGTGTTTCACAGAACCCCATTTTCAATTAGTACTTCATTCCAGGTGCCAGGAACTTTACTTTGAAAGTTCAGAGATCCTGTAACTGAGTGGAGTTTGTGGGGATGTATTCATAACTACTTTTGACATGACACTTTTTGTATGTAGTGTCAAATGAATGAAAGCGGTATTCACGAAAATATTATTGACAAGTCATACTGACCAAAACAGGGGAAATTAAATTTGGCAAAAAAAAACCCAACCAAAACTGCATTTAAATTTGAATTTGCATCTCGAACACTTTAACATCTTAACTTTAACGTTATTTTAAATTAGAAGTGTGCCTCTCCTTACAGGTCTGGATTTATTATAGGTTAGATGACTACACCGATTTGACTGTAATTAGATTTATGTAAGGAGGTAACAACAGGCCCATATTCAGAGCCTGTTGTTTTTTTGGCTCCAGTCGAGCCTCCCAGTGATGATGAAGATAAAACGGGAATCGTCCATCTGTTTGTCTTTTAAACTGCCTCTAAAAAACTGAGATGTTTCACTGTATTTACACACTGGAGTTGGGGATTGAATATGCAGTATTGTGTTGTTACCATGGTATTCTGTGTGCTGAAATGGAAACGTTTTGAAATATGAATTTGAAGACGTCACATACACATTCTGGACATTAATTATGAAAATGAAATGATTGGTTTTCATAGTTAGGTAAAAAGTCGTTCCTACCAGGTCTGAAATACTTGTCTGTGTATTACATTTTATCACCCAACAATCTGACCACCTGAACTGTGGTGTGTGTGGTGTGTGTGAATGGATGCTCGTGACTGCCTCTTGTGTGAACAGTGAACTGGTCATAACTCACGTAACCCACAGACAGGAGCAAACAGCAGTGACTGGGTCAGTTCCAGGACAGGAACCCATGCAAACTCACAATAAATTCTTCAACTTCAGCCTCAGTCTCTATGTTGCTGGAATGAAGAAACCCAAATATTTATGCCTTGTTATATATGCACACCAACCTGGGTCAACTGTAGGAGAATAGTTATAGAAACCACCTTTCTCAGGTTTACATGGTCTCCTTGTTCACAAGGAGGATCATGAACCCCTGGTGTATACATTAGGACACTCTGTAGCCTCCAGGTACTGGTACAGAGGGACTACATATCCTGATAAAGGAACATTCTGTATGTAAAGCTAACCACGTGAAAACAAGAGTCACAGGGTGAGAGAGCAAGAGTTCACAGAAAGAAAGTGGTTTTCAGAGTCATGCTACCAATGTTTTTTGCCGTTCACATTAAAGCTTTAAACACTACAATCAAGCAAAAATAAATAAAAATATTTGCACCTGGTCAGACTGTACTCTTTTTGTAAAGAAAATACTTCTCAGACAGGTATTTGTAGTAGTACTTTTTGTTTCCCCTCAATATTTGGTGACAGTGAGATTCCTGCGATAGTGTAGTAGGGAATTGTGAAAAGTGTCACTATTTTGGGACATCAATGTTGTGTTGAGTACAAGGAAAGATGCTACGTTAGCATCTGACTGACAAAGTGTGTGGGTGAAGGTTCCACGGCAGCAGTTCTATATTTGGATGCAGAGAAGCACTTCCTAGTTCCTGGTATTAAATGAGGTTTTTGCAGCGTAGCCGTGACAGTACTACAGCGCCTCATACATCATAATCCTGTCGTAGTAATACAACTACATCTAAATGTGTCTACAAACATGTACTAAAATGTATATTTAGCCAATTCTAAATACTGACTCAAAGTAAAAACTCAATGAGTCACTGCTTTGGGGCCTAAGATTCTCACTTAACGTCAGCAGTTGAATAGATGCATTTCCAGAAATGCTTATTTAAGCGTTCATGTTTCCTTCCCTGTGAGTGTGCAGTCGTTATTGATGACTTTTTCACTCAGGTCTTTTCTGTGTATTTTTCTTGGTTTCTAATTTTCACATTTGTGCCTATGTACACCTTTTTTAATTTAGAAATTTGAGTTTGGAAATATAAAATAATATATTTTATGATTATTATATTTTGTATGTCAAAAATAAACAAAAATATATATAGTATAATTTTTGGTGACTTATTTGCCTGAATGCTATTGCTGCTATAATTTAATTATTATTAATTATTATTATTATTATTATTTCAAATGTCCCATCAGCCCCAGCTTTTCAGAGCTTTTACTAACATAGAAACATGGATTTGAAAAGCAGCAGCCGTTGCTTCATGACAGAGCTTCTATTTGATTTGATTTATTTCTTCCTCAGGATTGTTGTGTAGCCCGAGCAGATCTGCGCTGCCTTCTCCGGGGAGAACCTGGCTCTGTCCGATGTAGGGGACAACGATGCTAATCAGCTTCTGACTTGCTAGAAATGCAACTGTTGACCTCAAACAAAAGACAGTGCGTTGCTGTAAGTACAAGGTGAGGGAACGAGGGCTGGTCAGTTTTGGTAAAATAAAATCCTAATCAGTTATTGTGGATAATATTTTGAAACTGTCCAAAAGTAAAATGAAATCATGTTAATGTAAAAGCTTCATGTTTGATTTCTCCTCCTCCCTTCTTCTTCTTCTTCTTCTTCACAGGTGAGGGTGTGGCTGGGAGTCTGAGCTGTGAGGTCCTCTGAGTGTCAGCCACATGGAGGTCAAAGGACACCTGATCACGTCCATGGGTCTCGGAGCTCCTGGTTAGTGTTCAACTATGCACTCTCGTGTCTGGGCAGGCCTGAAACAATCCAACAAACCTTCGGATTATGTTTTTCCTGAAACGCAGCTTAGAAACTGCTGTCCGTGTGAAGGGCTTTTGTTCTCTGACTGCCTCCTGTCAGGTATCTGAGTGATCTGAGATCACCGTCAACAGACACCACATTGTTTAAGACAAGTACAGAAAGTCTAACGTGAAGTATGCAGTGTTCCACAGTCTGGACTCGTGTTTTTTCAATTAATCCCTCGACAACAGGACGATGACTCTATGAAATTTAATCTGCTCCTCATGAGTGGTAGTTTGTATAATTGAAGGAAGGTAGCATCTGTAAAACTGTATACAAATACAAAGAGGAGTCAAAATTATACATATATATAAAAAAGATATAGCTCCTGGCTAGACGAGGAGCCTTTTGCTCCTAGAGCTGGCTCTGTGATTGGAGGCAGCCTCTGTCTGAGAGCTGTAGTCTGAGCTGGGGTTTCCTCACTCTCTCTCTCGTTCTCTAGTTTCACATTATGAGTTGTGTGTTTGCGCACGTTTCGACACTGAGCAGGAGAGAGCGGGGTGTGAGTTACACACCATCTCCCACTGACTGATAGAAACTCAAGGAAACGAGAGAGAAAAAAACAGACAGCTCACAGCTCATGCTGAGACACCACACTGCTGCAGACACAGGAGTGTGAAGCATGATGTCAAAATCATAATAACAGTAGCATCAGTGTAGAACCTGGACCTGATGCTGAGGACACTGTGGTCACTGTCACTGATGGGACACCATCACCAAGGTCTTCTAGATCTACAGCTCACTTTCCATTTCTACATATGAGTTGAAAAAAAAATATTATTTTTTTCATGCCAGTTTACCTCCTGATGTGTTTTTTATTTTGTGATGTGTTTGGTGATGTGCAGCTGTACAGGGCAGCCAGGCCAACAAGCTGCAGGCCGAGAGGATTGTGGCTCTGCAGGAGAGGAAACAAGCCCTGGAGGCTCTCCTCAACTCCAGAGTGGGAGAGCTCAGAGATGTCTGTCTGCAGGAGGCGGTAAGAAACACCACCTTGAATGTTAGGACACAACTCCAGGTATTGCTCCTTAAATGGCATCTGTTCCTTCACGGGGTTTTGAAGATCTCGGTCTCAGAGAGAGAGAGACAGACAGACGTCTTTTTCCTACCCTCGCAAATAATATTTCTTCTTTGGCATCACTTTTATAGAGTCCACATATTATTTTCACTTTCGGGACTTGCATCCTTCCTCTGTCTCCTATGCCATTCCATTCTAGCCTCCGTCCTGTATACTAAATGCACACACACATAAAGATGTTTGGTATTTTAGGCTATGTCCTTTAAATGACAATATGTAATCCCTAGCTGCATTCAGCAGCTCAGATGGAGGTCACATGCTCCGCCACTCTAGATCAGGGATTCCCAAAGGGGGGAGCATGAGCTGTGTGTTGTCATTAAGTCCTGATAAAAACACACAGACACACAACTTTGGACGTATTCTAAGTGAGATTGGACAACGCAGAAAACATGTCACTACATGCCAACCAGTGACCGCTGTTTTATGGTGTTTTTAAAATCACGCTCAGTGCATCACACTCACTGCAGATGTTCTGTTCTGCTGTTACTGCTTCAAACTGATGTGGAAACAGTTTAGATTTGAAGGTTAATCATTTTCTATAAGTGAGGATATTATAAAAAAAATAGATGTGACACTTCTGGTGATTCATATTTTGCCATAGCCTCTTTAGTTATGCCATAACCCTCTGTTTTATTCCTAATTAGAAGGGGTTTTAATGTAGCTTAGAAAACAACAAAGAAGATCTCAGTGGCTCTGGAGCTGAACATTTTCATGTAGTTAATGGAAAATTGACCTCCACACTAAATTGCCATTGGAAAAGTCTGACTGTAAAACTGTGTTTCTATCCATAATTATGAGGCTGGTTCTTTCACATAAATGGGAACATTGACTTCTCTACTGTTTGTGTCCGACTACTATTTCATCACACAATACTCCATTTAAATGAACTGATGGAGGCAGTGGTGGATTAAATACTGTTGGTTTTCCCTTTGAACCACTTTATATCAGATTAACAAACCCCAGTTACTCACACAAGGTTCTCTAACGGCAAGATATACTGGCAAATATATATCATTGAAACACCAATGACCAAAGCTATAAATGCTGTTAGCAGAGCCCTTTTATTCTTGTTGGCTGCCATCTTCTTACAGTGGTATCACCTTGTTCAATACCTAGGAGCTTGCACACTCGGTGGAAGGATCTCATTTATTTAAGGTTAATGAATGTCCTCCACAGGAGCTGACTGGAAAACTGCCACATGCTTTCCCCCTAGAGAGGGGAGAGAAACCACCAGTGGTGCGCCGCAGAGTTGGCTTTGGTTCCTGCACCACAGCTGAGGTAAGTCAGAATCTTAATAATAATGTGTATGCAGCATTTTCACCAACGCCTACACTTGTAGTCTTAAGACACACCTCTGTCTCTGACTGCAGGATGACGCTGCTCAAAAAAAGCAGATAAAGGCCATCTTCACTGGTTCTCTGTACAAACTCTCTGAATCGGACCGAAATGTCCCAAACAACAAGAGGACGGTTCATAGAGGGTGTCACACAGGTAGTATTACATCACAGACCTAGTATTACATCACAGTCGATGGATTCCATTTGTGTACATTGACAACAGTAGTTTCTGTACTCGCCTGAACATTCATGTTGATCCTGTGGTGATTTTTCAGAGGACACTGTCATGTCAGAAAGTACAAGCTCCACATCAGATTCAACATCCCATGGTAATGGTAAGTCAACCCTAATGTACCGACTGTATATTAGAGATGTCTTTTAATTTCCCTGGTGCAAAAGTGGAATTCTAGCACAATCTTTGCCTGTTGTTAACCTAATCAAATGTCAAGTGGGCCGGACCGGTGCAATAGTAACATCATTAACTATATGCAACAATAAGTCCATGTTTTTCCCCCTTTCATGCAAATAAGTGCACTTATATTAGATATTTATTATTATTTATTCACTTTTAATCACACGTCATTTTACAAAACATATCCTGAACATGAAGCCTATGTGTATTTCTTATTATCAAAATTAATTTACTGGACCGGATTAACTACCCTAGCGGGCTGGTTTTGGCCCACGGGCCCTATGTTGAACACCCCTGTATTATAGAGCTCTGAGCTACTTATCAGTTGATGTCAGTAGAAGCAGAGCTGACATTTAATCTTGTGTTCTTCCGATAGAGTCATCTCCCAGCGTGGGCACTGACCAGCACTCTGTGTCTCAGCCGCGACTGACCGTAGGCAGCCCTGACCACAGAATCAGCAGAAAACTGTCTCCTGTAGAGATTTACTACGAGATGAGGACACGCCGGAACTCTGCCACAAGTTCTGTTAGGTACAAGTTCTGAATCCTGATTCTGTGGAAACTCTTTTTTGATAATCATCATCACATCTGTTGGATTTTTTTAAAACAGATGTAAAACACAGACACATACCTGCTGTTTTTTTGTTTTGTTTTTTTTTCTAATTTTGATTTGTCTGGATAACTCAATATTTATTATAATTTATGACAATCACAATTAATCTTGATTAATTGTAAATAATCCACGGCATCCTGTGATTAATTAGATTAAAAAGATTACTAATTTGACAGTCCTAATTCAGTCCTTTAATCACTTTTTCAAATGTCTTATTTTAGTTTCTCTGTTTGTTCTTTGTTTTGACGACTAGAACCCTGAAGAGGACAAAGAGGTCGATGATGACTGAATAGACTGTTAACCCTTGTCTGTCCTGTTGTGTTTATTCTTACAGTCCAACCCACTCTTTGCCCAGAAGTGCATCCAATGTTGAAGGTCGAAGTGTCCCAGCAACACCACTGTTGGCCAGAACAGCTCCGATCAGTGTTCATGTCAGGTGAAACATGATGTCCAGCTGTTTCTGTTTGTTACAAGACAAGGCACATGCATTTGAAGTTATTTTCCAAGAGTACGATTGTACGATTTACTGTTGGATTTGAATCTTTAGGTCCAATGCGTCAGGTGGTAATGGGTTGAAGCAGTGGTCTGGCAGCCTGGACGTTCCTTACATGATTCCGCTGGCTCAGGAGGGCTCTCCGTTCAGTTCTCGGGCGAGGCGCAGTAACAGCTCGGAGGCCCTGTTGGACAGATCCAACATTTCTGATGACTCAGCACCCAGAAATGGTTTGCCACCCAAAGGAGGGCCGTACAAAAGCTCGGAGACGTTAACCGATGGCAAGTTGCAACACATTCATCTTGGCAGCCCCAAGGGTCATGTGGACAGTTTTATGGAGCAAGTCAAAATGAGTCTGTCCAGTGGCAGAGGGGCAGGGGGGGGCTACAATGACCTCTTAATGGATTATATCTGGGGGAAGCAGCAAAAGATGCAAATGCAGCAACACCTGTACCAGTCTACAGGCCGGATCTGGCAGGACATGTCCTCACCTCGCTCCTCCACAGCTGTGGCGCCTCCTCATGCAAATGGATTCTCTCATTCCCAGGTGCACATCCCCAGTGCTGCGGCTCCTTATAGTCCTGTAGTTCCGAGAGGGTCTCAGGGGGAGCTGCGCAGAGTGACCAGAACCAAATCTTGCGGCCCTTTTATTCCACTGCAGGATGCAGTCCTGTTGTCAGCGTATGAGTCTCAGCTCCCTGCGTCTAGCGTTACTACTTCTTCCATCCCCAACTTGCACCCTTACCAGACTGAGCTGTCTGGAAACTCCTTTAGCCGAAGACCCCCACAGTTCTCTTTACCTACTCCAGAGGACTCGACCAGAAGCCTGCATAAATCCCTGGCCCTGGAAGGACTGAGAGACTGGTATCTGAGGAATGCTCTTGGCTATTCACCTGCTGCATCCAAGGGCCACGAGGCTGGGATTTCACGCCTCTCGCACCCCCACCCACTGGTGCATCAGCCCCAGTCTGTTCAGGGTGAAGCAGGCAACACCAACGGACCTCAGATACCGCAGTCAGCCAGCTTCCACGGTCTACCACTGCACGGAAGGTCAGTGCTCAAGCCATTCTACTGTCTTTCTGTTAAATAAAATTTCTGTTTGTCTTTAATGAACAACAGGTGCAATATCACTGTGTAATATTTCCTTTTCTGTGCAATAGTTCAAACACTGCTGCAAATTATTTTTATTCTCACGGTTCATAATTTCATGTGTAGACTCCATGCACTATTATTTATTTATTCCTGTTTACATTTGTCACTCCCATACTGTTTATCTGTATATTTACCATTAGTTTATATTTAGCACAGTATTGTTTTGCACTAGTTATATATATATACATAATGTATATATATATACACATATATACAGCCATACCAAAGTAGCTGCTCGTGGCCTACAAGCTGTGTACTTTGTACTGTGTACTCCGGTTGCCAAGCAACGACATTTCATTGCCAGACTCACTGTTTTTTGTGTTTCTGTGCAATGACAATAAAGAAAGTCTAAGTAATGTAATATTATGGAAGCAAACAATAACGGCACAAGTGGCTCTGTCTCTGAATTCACATATACTACACATACCACGATGAATCATACTGTTTGTGTTTGTATTCTGTTTTTTAAAGAACTACATTGACTTTTTATTTGTCTTCACTCTCTCTCAGGTCAATGGAGTTCTCTCTGTATCAGGAGACTTCACGTCCACAAATGCAAGAGGCGACCACAAAAGAGCCAAGTGCCGACTCAGGCACCCTTGTCTGATGCAGCAAAACGCACATTGACACACACACACATATACACACAGAGAGACATGAGACATGAGAGAGAGAGGGAGAAAGATACAATGTGACCTCAACTGCAAAACAAAACAAGGCAACC